AGGTGTTTAAGAGGATGTCCAGAAGTGTTAAGAATACTATAAGCCATTAATAAATCACCTCTAAGACGCCTATATTCTAATGGGTAAAGGTCTAGTGAACGGAGGCGTTCTTCGTAAGGCTTAGATTTGAGTCCTCGAACTGATTTCGTGGCTCGCCGTTGGATACGCTCCAAAGTGACCTTGTCCTTTTGGAGTGAGGGGGGAGTACTATGTTTCCGTACTCTAAATGGGGACGGATGAAACTATTGAAGATTGTGTGGAAAGTTCTTCCGTCAAACTGTCCAAAAATGCGCTTCAACGTTACCAGTGCAAGGTTTGCTCGGAAGGCATTTTTGTCACAGTTAGCGTAAGACTTTAAATCATGGGGCACCAGGACTCCTAAATCTTTTTCGACTTGGGATACTACTAGAGAGGAGTTTCCTAAGTTGTAACTGTAGTTTGCAACATGTCGCAGATGGACTACTTTACACTTTGAAGTGTTAAAGGTAAGTCCGTTATCGTCTGCCCAACTTTGAAGTCGAGTCAGATCCTCCTGAAGTGCCTGTATATCGTCTTGGTTGCGTATCTCTCTCCAAAGTTTCACGTCGTCGGCAAAAAGTAATAAGTCTGACGTTACCTGTTGAGGAAGATCATTTATGTAGATCAAGAAGAGAAGAGGCCCTAGTACTGAGCCCTGGGGGACCCCACTAGGACATTCCATAGCCTGAGATAAAGTGAAATTAACCCTAACCTTAAAGTGTCGATTTTTTAGGTATGAAGTAAGCCAATCGATTAGAGGTGGTTTGATACCTAGTCGTTTGAGCTTGTTGATAAGACATGTATGGTTAACCTTATCAAAAGCTTTTGAGAAATCAAGGTAAATGATGTCAACCTTTCCCTTGCGATCGAGGATGCTTGTCCATCTGTCCACCGCAGTCAGCAGGTTGGTTATACAAGAGTAACCCTTCCTGAAACCATGCTGTTGGGGTGAGAAGAAATTTAAGGACAGTAGATAGTCATTTAAACCGTCGCATATCAGGGACTCCATGAGTTTTGAAGGTAATGACAGAAGAGCCACCGGCCGATAACTTGAAGGTTCATTGCGTCGACCACCTTTGAAAATTGGTGTGATGTGAGCCAACTTCCAATTTTCCGGTAATTTGCCTCGGCTAAGCGAGTGTGAAAACATCACGCTAAGCGGCGTTGCCAGGATTGAGGCTGCCTCCCTCAGTATGGCAGGATGAACCATATCCGGGCCAGGAGAAGTGTCTGATCTTAAGTGCTGCAATTTCCGGAACACCAAGTCAGCGCTTAGGTCCACTTCAGAAAGTCCTGTGGAATTGCAGATGAAACTGTCGTCAGTAAAGTTGATGTCAGCCGGTTGAAATGTTTGAGAGTAATGTGCCGCCAGAAGGTTAGCGGCGTCGCCATCGTTGTTGGTCGGGCCGTTAAGACCTACCAGTTGAGAAACTCCTGTTTTGGCTTGACGAAGAGAGGCTGCATAACGGAATAGGCTTCTAGGGTTAGAGGCGAATTTGTCCATAAGCTTTGTTTGGTACTGAAGCCTGTCTTCTCTTATAGCCTTCGTGCATATGTTCCTGATATGTTTATATTGCCTATACGCTCCATCGTTATTAGTTCGTTTGTATTCCGCCCAACAGTGCCTTTTGCGGCTTAGCAGGCGAAGGGTACGGTTCTTGATTACTGTAGGTGGCTTGCAGCTTTTGGGAACCGTTTGAGGAACTGAATGGTTTGTAGCACATAAGAGCGTGTGCAGTAAGAAGTCCCAATGACCATCCACATCGAGTTGAGGGTGAACATCCCAAACCACCTGTTGTAGATAGTCATGTAGAGCTGGCACATTCAGCCGTTTAAAATTCCAACGCAAATTATTGTTGGGATACCTTAGCTTAGTTTTGATGACAAAACTGAAGGCTATGACGGCATGATCGCTCTTTCCCAGAGGAGCCAGGATTGAGAGGTTGTCGACTAGGAATTCTTCGTTAGTGAATACACAGTCTAAGCGCGATGGTGTCTGACTGTTTCTCCAACGAGTTGCCGACCTCACATTTTCATATAAGCCCAAGTCATCGATGAGGTTGAAGAACCGAGCTTCAATTGAGTTGTCGCCTCCAGTGTACGTGTGTTCCGCGAAGTTGACTCTAGGGAGATTAAAGTCCCCTAGAATCAGGATGTGTGTGAAACCGAGACGGATAGAGCGGGATAGTCCTTCCAGCATACGACTATCGTACTCGATGTCGGCAGTTGGCTTCCTGTAAATGACTCCGACTAGACACCTCGAAGTACTAGACAATCTTACAGAGCACCATATGGATTCCTCAAGATTGTTAAACTCGAGGTTGTGAACTTGGTGCACCTCCAAGCAAGAGCTTATGTATATGGCTACTCCGCCCCCAATTCCTGTTTTTCTGTCGTTGCGGAACAAAGTCATCCCAGGTAATGCTAACTCTTGGTCCGAGAACTGAGAAGATATCCAGGTTTCAGATATTCCTATCAGATGGGCCTTATTAGCGTTGCTAAGTTCACGTAGTTCATCCAGTTTGTTTGGTAGACTCGCGGCGTTCATATATAAGCAGTTTATGCTTTCAATTTGGAACGCGTGAGCTTCGTCCTGTTTTTCTGTATGAACCTTATGTGAATGGACAGGTAGCCCACCTATATGAGGTTTGCCGAGGTGGTAGGCCCTGTCCTTTACACGTTTTTTTATCGTTTAGACAGTCCACAAGTGGAATGGTCAGCTCCAACTTGCCTTTGTTCTTGGTCCTAGCTTCGTATGGCCTATCCGGGTGCATGTGGATTCCAGGTGGCAATCGACGTCTATTAGCACGAAATGCTTCCAGAACTGCAGCCGCCATGTGGGAAGATGGGAAGGTTATCTTCATTAGACGGGGTCTGGGATCACCGTCCTTCTTGGCTAGTCTCGTCACATGCTGAGTCAGTATGTGTTTGAGCCTCAAGGACTGTTTGATGAATTTCCATTCCCTGATGTCAGAATGTGATTGAGTAGGGTCTGCATTTTCCGGTATACCTTGCACAATTATGTTTCTTTTTTTTTTTTTTTTTTTTTTTTTCTTGGGAATGTTCCGTATGATATTGCGCTCAGAGTACGGTATGTCGGGCAATATTTTACGTTACCATCGGATTTCAGCAAGTGACTTGCTAGCAAGACGTCCTCTACGTCGGCAGCATTCTTAAGTGTTACTCGGAGAAGCCTCGGGTGATTTAGATGCTTAGAATCCTTTCCTCGAGTGAGCCGGGTGACCGTCAAAGGCTCTATTCTAGGAAGTTCGAGCTTCTTGTTCAATTCACCCCAGAGCATCCTGTCGTTTTTGTCCTGCAGACTGAGAGGAAGGTCAGGATTGTCAACGAGGTTCATGATAATGAGAGAATCGTCACGAACTGTTGTTAATTTACCAGGTTTCACGATGGGTTCAGGTTTAATAACTTGTTGTTTGGAGGTCAGTGCGCGTTTTTGAGTCTTGGGCTCTTTATTGACCGGACGAACAGTCTTGGGGGTAGACTGTGCGACCAAATCACCAGTTATTTTCCGTACAGCAACACTTGGGTTGCTCGGCTTAGGCGGTGATGCCTGGTTCTTTTGGGCTCTCTTAACGTGGGTCGAATCACCTACAGGGTTTTTGGGAACCACTGTTGTGTTCAGGGACCCTAAGCTGGGAGACCCGAGTTTGCTTAGGGAGTCTAGTACCGTCGACGTAATGATGGTGCTGAGCCTCGACACGTCATCATTAGTGTTGACGGATGCTCCATCGGTGGTATACCTATCGGCATCCCTATTTTTGTATCCGTCGCACGCTCTTGTTTGTCTACCGGTTTTTTTACTATCGTTATCCAAGTTAACTGACAACTTGTTCCGAAGACCTGTCAGTAGGACAATGATGTTACTCAGCAAGACTACAGCGTCCGTGCTGCACGTGACACACACCCACTTTTGCTCTGACTTGCTGAGTCTGTTGTAAGCAGTTGCTGTCAGATCTGTGCATGCTTCGTGGAACCAACCTTTGCAGTTGTCGCACTGCATGCCAGTTGTAACAGCAAAACGGCATCCCGGACGTTTGCATGAGTTTTTCATGACTGTGTTGAAGCAAACTATGTTATAGATGCTTGCAAAAGCCTAAGACCTTTAAAAAACACTAAAAAGCACACTGAAAACGGACAAAAATAGGTAAAAACGAGTGATATAAACTGAAACTAGTCTATACGTGAAAAACAAAAAAAACCGAATAGTAAGCTGAGGCAAAACCACAGGTAACTATTAAATATGGTGAAACTCAAAAAAAGTAATCTACCGAACGTATAGCTCAGGATAGATTCTTTAGAACTGAAATGGTACTTTTGTTGCGTAAGAACACAGCAAAAGTTTGATATATGCAAATCACGTTAGGAATAAACTTCCTGTTCGAAAAGCGCGCGGTAGCCAGAATCAACTATCAAATCTACTAGTATTAGCACAGCCGAGTAGCTAGACAACCCACACTGAACAGAATCGTGGGCCTTAAACCCCACGGGAACTTCACAATAGGGGGGAAAGACACTGTTCGATAAATGCAAGCTCGTTGAAAATATAGTGGGTACTGAAAACAAGTTTAAAGATGGCCAGTTTGTCGAGAAATGTTTATCTTAGTCTGGTAGTTGTTGCGAGGGCTCTGATTCTGATGTCTGTCAGAGTGTTTCCACCTTCAGTATATCTTGCAAAACTAATAAGGTCAAGATCAATTGAGAAGACTTAAAGACTTAATTGATTATTTATCGGTCCAGATAACTTTCCTTTAGTGAAGTAGTGATGACTCGAAAGTCTAGACCCTGCAAGATTTTAGTTAGCAGATCTTTTTAATGGCTTCTAAAGACATGTAACTTTAGCTTAATATCAGTATGTTTGAACACAAGAAAAATTGATTGTCAGTGAAATATTGGAAATATGTTAGTTTAGGCGTGAGTTTCAATAATCATAAGGCGTTATCACTCTTACATTCTAGGTTTCGATGGATCCAGGTGTTTCCCAGTTAGCGATTGAATGCCAACATATAAGTAATGTGACAAAAGAACTCGAGTTTCTCTCACTATTGCTCACACACGCTACATCTTACAACAGTATGGAAATCAATAATTTAAATAGCAATATGCCTGAAACAAGCGGCATGAAGACATTCTTCAGGATTTTAAGTCGTATATGCAGGGATTGTGGAGGCATTTGGACAGTAAACGAAGAGTTGGACTGGTAAGCGCTTTTAATCTTTTGCTCCTTCCAGAGGCTTACTCACGACCATTCTTTTACCAAGTAAACGTTTTTGCATAAATGTTCTGCTCTGTAGTTATTCTTTCGAATTATATGCTTTTTCCTTCTTAAGTTTATTCGCAGATTGTAATCACATCATTTTTTCAGCTTTCAATGTAATCTAAGTGAAACGCACCACTCATATATATATATATATATATATATATATATATATATATATATCTACTATCTACTTGGCGAATATTCGGCTAAAACTTTCTCTTCGCGAAAAATTCTCTTCACTAAGCATATGCGTAAGTATTTTAGTCCCTTAATTACTCCAGTCTTCGAAGGTGATTTTCGTGAAAGCATTCTAGTGCATGAACCTATCAAACGAAATCAGAATTTTGCTGAACATTTCACACTGTCTAGAAGTCGAAACTATTTGACGAATGTATCCAGATCAACCTTAAAGTAACAAAATATCCACCTTTTCGGGGATAAATAAAAAGACGTTTATGCATATTTAGTTCACAACTGGAATTTTATGACTGGATAGGATAGTTTTTGTTGCCAGCCTCATAACATGTGCTATTCCCTGAGGTTCTTCAACTATACACCAAATTAAATTATTTTATTCGCACTCATCACATATTACAGTCTCACCAATCTGAAAGAAATTTTTAAGTTCATCTTTGCGGCACAGTACATTACATTGTCTTAAAAAAAGCAATATAGACTGATACTGTTAGAAACGTTTTTTGAAAATTCCATAAAGTGACCTGTATTGAGCACCGTCAAACATCTCAGTATTGATTTTGAGCCACGAACAATCCTTAGGCGTAGTGTATACCTTTTATTCTTCACCTTACATTTAGTTGAGATGAAACCTACTTACCTGCCGCTGTTTTAACAAGAGTTGAACTGTTTTTAGGGCTGTTAACTTTCATCAGTTAGTTATTTTGGGACCGGATGTCGAATTCTTTGTTTTAATGACTTAAAGGAAAATGTCATAGAAAATATGAATAGCCTCATTAAATGATATAGGATCATACAGTTTTGTGTTTTAGTATTTTTAACACTTTTTAAATTTGTTGACGACTATTTCACTTAGACTGCATTATTGAAAAGTTGAAATAGAAGATACAAATGTCCTACAATAATCGTATACTGAAATATTTCGTGTGCTAAGCAATGCCTACAACAATAATGTACAAAACGCGTGAGTCGTCTGATTTTTGACCTAAATGTTGGAGTAAAAGTTGCGAAATCCCTAATAATACTTCTATATGAGTCCTTCTCACTTCTGTAGAATTCTATTTTATACTACTTTGTGAGCGTCCGTAGTAACATTGAGCTGTTTGAAAAACTTATTATTAAGACTGCTTTTAAACTACTGAATAAACAGAAACCAAGTTTTACGTTATTATACTCTATATATCTTAATTTTTGAATGTATACCTGGTGAAATAAAAGAAACAAACGTACCCATTAGTTTATTCGGAAGGTGCAATGTAATATCAAATGATGCACTCATCTAATAAAAGAAGAAACAAATGACAACGTTTGGTTAAGATGAACGTTTTTGTTTGTAACATAAAAGTTAGACACTATACTCATCAGTGAGACAAGTACTGTACTGAATATTTATCCTAGGAAATATCTTTTTCAACATTTATGTACGGATTTCTCTAAATTTTCTAGTGCTGATCTAAAATTAGTGTACAAATTTATCAGTAGTAGTAAGAGATGCACACTAAGATGGCTAAAAGTACTTACAGCGGAATATTTTGAGTACTGAGTTAGTGTCCCAGATAGTATGCAAAATTGAAAAGGGTGTTTCAGACAATAGAAATATAAACAGACATTTGTCTTTACAGATTTACCAGAAAGCTGGTTTTACCTTATTGTACTGAAAGTTGTGGTTAAATCTCATTAGGAAAATAGAACTTATTTATTTAATATCTTATATCCAGAAGAACATTGTAGTATATGACTAAAAGGATGTCCTACCATGTTAGTTTCTCAAAGTCGACAGAATATTTTATTTAGTAGACAACGTAAACAACAGCTTACAACGTTTAATTGAAATTTATTAATAGTGATGATCAAATTACTGCTCATGTATAGTGGAACCACAAAGCTTGTAGTGTTGAGTTTAGACTTGAATTAATAATTGGGAGTGACAAATTGATCAGTTGGAATATGTAGCTTAGCTGACTAAGAAGATGGGCAGGAGATTGTTCATAGGGGATAAAATGTGTTTATCGAAGTTGATGTATGAAGTGCAGACCTCCTCATTAAGGTTTGCAAAGTAAGATATAATAAATGGCATAGTGTTAAATCTGGTTAATAACATAGACCTGTTTAGTTGTCCTTCATTTCCCTCCCAAGTTTAATATTTGTCCCAATCTCTGAATAAACTGTTTCACTTGGTTTTCTTGAGCTATGCTTACCACAACTAACTCAAATATTGTGACTGGGAACGTTTCTGCAAGCATCGTTCCTCAATGTCCTCATGTTCTTTTTATAATGTATCGCAGTTTGGTCAGGTACACATGTGTTTCCTGTCTTACGTTATTTAAAACTGGTTATAATATTCCAAACGTTCTTTCACATATCACATTTTCTTATAAACCGTCATCTTTTTACCTACAAATCATCAAATAATACTTTAAAAGGGCTTAGCACAACTGGTGTGTTTCTTGTTGTTTTAAAGTTTTATTATCATAAAAGAGGAACGATAGTTGCATGTATTATCCTCGGAAATCTGAATAAGCATTGGAGTGATGAACGATCATAAAGTACGCTCTGAATTTAGCCTAATACTAATTTTTCCTCCTGACTGTACATTCATCATAAAAACCACAAGATATTTTCCAGTCTAGCTGCCTAATATTAATAATAAAAGTTATTATAAGTTTGACTTTAAATCATAAAAAAATTAGTATTTGAACGAGACTTCGAAATGTTTGCCTTTTAGTGGATTTAATTTGTCATAAACCATATAAAGAAGATAAACGATACATTTTATTCCATCTTTAAATTATTTTTCGCGGTTTGAAGTAAAGAAAGCAGTAGCAAACCGTATCCAGCTGTCTTGTGTATCTGAAATCCCGTTTCGCTTGATCCTGTTTAGTTATCTAGTAACTGCGTAAAGAAAATCACATTTACCTTTCTCATTGTTGCAATACTAATGGATTTGCTGCACTTCATCCGATCAGCGAATAATTTGTAAGGGATGTTATTAAGTCGTAAAATATTCAAGCAGTAAACTTGAAAAATTCAGTTCTTATTGAATGAGCAAAATGTAAATAAAAAGGTGATAGATTACTTGTCAGATGCTAATAATTTGTAGTAAAAAACCAGTTTGTTTATTCTATAGCTTAAATCACTTGCTTTTGTTAGTTTTTATCCCTTTCTGAGCTTTTATTATTAATACGTTTTTGTTCCGCATTGTGATTTCGTATTTAGAAAATATCAGTGAAATTTTCAATTGTACTCAAAGTACATGGATTTATAGCCAAAAATAAAATTCAGCAAAGAGATTTACTCTTTAGTCCAACAACTAAAATTTTATTTTCAGCAAAATTATTTATTTAAGCTGCACATTCGTCTATAGAAGGACAGAAACGATTGCGTTGATACGGTTGTTAGAAATCGTATTGAACACGTGGACTTGAAATCAATGAAAAGTTTAAAACCGGTGGTGATCCATGGTTCTTTTCCGAAATCACCAGAAAAATCTATATTCAAGCATTTTAATATAACAGTATCAACTATCCAACTACAAGCATTATCACTTGGTTCTAAATTTTGTAGTACGTCAGCTAACATTAATGAATTCCATGCTAAGATCCAGTTTGAAAGCTTCATTTGTCAGACAAATGACCTTATCCCTGTATCTAATAAAGATTATGAGCATTTCAAACAACTTATTGACTGTTGTAATCAATATGTAAACGAAATATTCACAACTAGACGATAGCTCATAAAATAACATACATTCCAGTTATTTTATCTTCTAATAAATCAGAATTTTGGACTTTGTCACCCAGATAAGAGTGCAGGAACTGTCCTTGTGGATCTTCATAACTATATTATCAAACTATCCTCGATGTTATCTGATGCTGTTACATTCTCTAAAGAAGCCAATTGAAAAGATACAACTAAGGAAACTGAACAAATGCTAACTAAAATCCTAAGGAAGATGAAAGAAGAGTTTATTATCAGTTGTGACCTCCACAAACATCTAAGACTATCGAATTCCTCTATATCAAGACCATATTGACTACCATAAGTTCATTGGAAGAATGTCATCCTACTTCTTTTAATTGACATGAATAACTCCGTATCATTTAGTTACTAAATGGTTAGCTAAAATTTTACAACCCATCAGAAATCAAACCTACAAATACAACTCTCTTGATTCATTTGATTTTGTTGACTCAATTAGAAATATCGACGTAAATGATAAAAGAAGTTTTATTAGATGTCACTACCGCCTTTACAAATGTTCCATTCATAGAAGCTATGTTTTTATGTGACTATATGGAACATAACAGTTTTGATATTTGTATCCCAAAACTTCATCTAAAAGAGCTACTTCTGTGATGTACTCTCAATGTGCGATTCAGATTTAATAATGATTTTTGTAGACAAACTGATGAAGTTGCAATGCGTTCACCACTAAGTCCCCTCTTGGCTGATTGTTTCATGGCCAATCTGGAAAATACATCACTTCGACCAATACTTAGATTTCATTTATATAAGCGGTATATTGATAATACTTTCATTATTTGTGAAGTAGATATGAACGTCAATGAAATTTCAAATCTATTCAACAATTGTCATCACTTAATTCTTTTCACGTTGGAAGAAGAGGCGAACGAGGAATTTCATTTTCTTGATTTCTTATTGAAATGATCAGACGGTTCTTTACAGATCTATATATAAAAAACCCACCTAAAATGGTCAGTACACGAGTTTCTACAGCCGGATCCCATCGAGTGGAGAAAGTGAACTAATTCACTCTTTATCTTCGAGATTTGTCGATAGGATCTTAACGCCAAGTCAACATCCTGAAAAATCCCCAGCAGTTTAAAGGAAAACTATTTTTACGAATATTGAATTTAAAGGAGATACGGCTGCTGAACTCTTGAATAAATGGATTTCAAAATTCTTGAACAAAACATTCTATTCAACTGAGTTCCGTGTTTTCTTCTGAAGCCATTCCGCTTTGAGCCGCATCGTTATGCATCTTTGGTGCATCAGGTCACATTGGCCGCACAAAGCGATCACTTTCCAAACGCATCTCAGAACATTACTCGCGTGTCGTTTAGAAACAGAATGCAAAAGATACACCAGTTCAATACAGGAGCACTTAATCAACTCTGGAATAGTGTACACAATCAAAGGAACTGGGTTGAAGGGAGGTTGAATCACATACCTATGCACTGCTGAGGCATTGACAATCCACCAACTCAAGCCCCAACCCTGCGTGTAAAAACGATACGTCCAACCTCTCATCTTTCTTCAGCCTTAATTCCCTTCTGTAGTATGTTTTGGCGGTTTTTTACTCTTTTTATTAGTGTTTTGTAATTTTAACCCGTTACCAGTTATTATAATCCTTCACAATCGTTTATGATCATCAATTAGTTATTATTATGACCTTTATGTTTTTCGTTTCCCTTCGTATCTGTCAAGTGGACGATTATCTCCCATTATTCTGACCCATAAATTATTTTCACCCTTATATTCTTTTACTTATTTAGCTCCTTGATTATTTCACAACCTCAGTTGATATTTAAAGTTTCAAATCTCTTTGTGATACAATCTGTTCTATCCTTTTATAAACATATATTTACTACACAACTATAAATACGAATGTACAGCTTAAATAAGTGATTTCATCGGAAAGAAAAATTTCTTCGTTGAATTTTCTTTACTTTTACCCAATGACACAATGTGTTATTTTAATCATCTGAGGATTTATACTTCTTGTTTCTATTTGGGAAGCTGCTAAGTTGCTACTCTACTGTCTTAATGATAATATGGGATTTATTTTTATCATTATTATTATTATTATTATCATGATATATAGTAACCAATACCAAAAGAACGAGAGTACAGTTCATGTTGTTTGATGAAGATAACCGAAGGTCCTGGGTTAAAATCCTGCGAGCGGGATCGTGGATGCGCACTGCTGAGGAGTACCATAATAAGACAAAACAGCCGTCACAATTGATTAATCACTGGGTGGTGATCAATGTCATGCGTGTCTAGTCCTGTGTTTCCAGGTTTTCAATTGTGGTCTGATATCGATCGATTCATGATCTCAATCAAAAACACAAATAATAGCTGTCAATCTTGAAACATTATTCAGGCACTTAAGAAAAACTGGAAATAAGTTACTTAACAGAATAAAACGAACAAAAAAGAAATTTAATCGGTGTGAGTGTGGAAAAAAAGCTAACCACCTTAAAGAAAAAGCCTAGTAAAGTGAAGGAAGGATAAATTGCAAGGCTGAGAATTAAGACGAGGAAAAAAGGTTTGGTAAGCCTATTTTGAGAGTAAAAGGTTTGGATAATAAAAAAAAACAGGGAGACACTATACTTTACAATTATTCATCTACCTTATGGGTTACTTGGAATGCTAAGTGAGTCGCCATAGAATAACCAGTATTGATCAGATTTTCCTTTAGGAGACTTCTAGTCCACTCGCTATAACCTTTTTGAAAGCATAAAGGATACTTTTCTTGAACACGCTTGGATAGATACATTTCTTATGATAATATAAAACATTTTATTTGTTGAACTACATGAGTTTTCGCAAACCAATTACACTTATTAGTGCACCAACACCTGTTCACGGTCAGGGTGATTGAAGCAGGTGGAATTTACAGTAATAAAATGTAAATATGACATTAATATCATTAAACTGACTAACCAAAACTCTGAACCATAACCAGTAACAGTTTTCAATACCTCTTATGTATTTGTATTCAGCTGAAAGGGCCTTTTGTTTCCAATAGTTTGAGTTCATACTAATATATCAAATCCTATTTACATAACTTAGTAGGATATTTTGTAATGTATAGAAAGCTATATGAATGTATTGAACTTCCATTTTAGCATTCATTTGAACAACTCTCGAATATTTGTTTAACCGTTTGTGCCATCATTATTCAGTGAATGGAAATATTTGGATTGTGTTGCCTTAAATACACTATCCACTATCCATGAGAGGGAAAACACAGGAGTGAACTAGGGAAATCTAAGTATTTAATTGGTTTTAATTCTTAAATAAATTATAAAGCTAGAAGTGGATAAAATTTTTATGGCACTTGCGTTTTAAAAAAGTACAAACTATTGTCACATATAATCTATATATTCGGTTGATGTTAAAGATTAGTTTAGCTGAGGATTGTCCATTTAAAGGCTGCGTTATATTAGTCATCAAGTGCAACAAGCTTTAATAAAATAATTTTTACTGAATAATCCGGCTGATTCCTTATTGATATTTTTCTAAAGAAAATTTAGTTTCATTAGTGTTTTTATAGTCTTCACATGAACACAATAATTTAATTTATTTTGATTAGGTTGGTATTCTATTTATTTGCTCGTTGCTATGGATGGAGCGACATTGATTTAAATGATGTGCGATCCCAGATGCTGGTACCATCAACGGGACATAGGTATAGAAACGTATCAAAAGATGAAGAGCTGAGAATGAAAGATAAAGTCATCCAAATCACCACGGAGCTAATTTATTTGTAAGTTTTATTTTGAAATGGACTTTAAATCTCATTAAAACAACACGAACATATTGCTTTTGAAACGACAGGTAGAGTCAAAATTGAGTGTTTTATATATTACTTCCTGAACGCGGTTTACTCAGTGTATTTACTATGTTGCACTATTTATGATTAGCATTGTTGCACAAAAAGCTATGTATCTAAGTAAACTAAAGTGAGGTTGTAAATTGGATTTAGTTTAGACATAAACCACTGGAGTTACATCTTAGTAAACTGAAGTGTTTTGTTCATAGTATCATAATGCATATTTTAGTGACATCACATAAGTACAGTTAGATGATGTTGGAATTTCATAAGAGTGTTATATCCGCTATTCGCTTGGGATTTTTAATGCTAGTCTTGGGACAAAATGCTTGCTACCAAATGAATTGAAAGAGTAACATAAATCACATCTAAATAGTTCTCACTGATAGTTTGCTCTCATAAGCGCTTGTTTAGTTTATACAACATACAATTAAGTGTTGTTTAAAGGGTTAAAAATATTCGGGAAAATTCTATATTGTAGAACTTCATCTTATCACTTTTTGATTCGTTATGTAGTAAGCTTGTTGTTTTGTTGAATGTTTTCATAATCATTTTGTCACATTGTAATGTTGTAACAGCGTCACTCAATCCCGAGCTAAAGTTAGTGAGAATAGCATTTGATGTTTTGATATTTAAAATTCACAAAAGGAAACGACCAACTGTTTGTTCTGAAGTTTACAATGAGACATTAACATCCAATAATACTTAGTTGTTTTTGCTGCCATTTATTTGATAAATTGTGCCATAGACGTTCAAATCTAGTAAGGATTATATAATACTAGACTACACGAATTGTTAAAAAGATATGACATGTTCTAAAAGTATACCATAACTTCAATCAGTAACGTATTCCATATATACTGTTGAGGATTTAGACACGGGGTGCAATGTTTTAACCACTCCAACTTATACAGTATACAAATATTCATTCTGTACTGTATTTACCGAGTCTTACAGAGGATTCGATTACATTGCTGCATGAAGTTTATTATATGGCTTATTGACTGACCTCATTATCTATATTCTTGAAATTGTTTCATGAAAAAAAGAAAACGAGTCTGATCTCATAACCTCATACAACCAGCTCCCTTTGTAAAACTAAACGGAGCAAGTGCAACATGGTTTGCAAAATAAAACGAATTCATTTTACTTCACAGTTTCTCATCAGCTGCTTACAGACTAAAATTACAGTTAGTAATGTATTTATTAAAAAATGCTTCACATACTTTACTTTGTAAAGTCTAGTTAAGTGTTCGAAACGTAACCAAAATCATACTAGTAAGAAGAGGAATAGGTTACAAAATATATGAATAAGCATAGTTAAGATCAATGTGTATTTATATTTTGGAATGGGTGTTATAGGTACTAGTAACCATAACCAAGACAAAAGAGATTATGTTAAGGTAATGAAATTAATAATTCATCGCGTAACCTCCCACAATGATGAGGAATAAGATCAAGTATATATGAACAATAAGATTATTTAAGAGATAAATGTTAGAAGACAAAATAAGAGGGGATTGAAAAAAGTTAATAAAGGTTATTTGTCAAATACTTAGCCACTATATCACATAAAGGATAGTCACAATTTGCTTCAGTATACATCGGTCAGATCAAAAAAGGTAGTTAGCAACTGCTTCTGCGGAACGAAGTGAAAACCAGTATTGGTTGTCTGCTAATTATTTTTAGTTCAAGACTTATATTCATTCTAACTTTACTATCCAAAAGATGCCTGGGAATTACGCCTGGGAAGACTACTCCCTTTCAGACATATATCTTTAGAAACGTGTTCAGAATATCTGGTAGAAACCCTTCTATTTGTCTTCCCTATATACACGCTGCCGCATGTGTATGTAAATTTCTGAATGCGATTGGATGTGACGTCCAAGAGTATTGATCTATCTTTCAATTGTATAAAGAACGCTTGGAGTCGTATAGGGAGATCATTTGAACATTAGGAAAGCCTCTTTTCGATGCTACCTTGATTCTCCTATCGATTTCACCTGAAATCTAATCTCTCTCGAACGGAAGACCAATGAGAATATCTTTATAAAAAGAGCTATTTTCCTAGTATTTAGCAATAATTTTTTCCCATTATTCACTTTTTGAGGTTCTGTTGTAGAATGACCGATTTCCCACTTATTTTATCGTCTGAACGCAACATTCTTATTCTATTAGAGAGTGTTTTGACTAGACATCTTTTGTAACTAACAGAAAAATATGCTGTTATAATTTAAATATTGTCCTTTCTACGTTTTTCTCCTATATATCCTATATAGGGATCATGTATTCATTTGAATCTTGTAAACGCTTTAAAATATCTGATGATTTCAGCTTTAATATGAGTAGAGTGAGTGAAAGTTTGTGATTCTACCAGAAGCAGTGAAAGTTAACACTTTTTAAGTATCTCTAATTAACCTTCATTGGTTGGTAGACATCACTACGGAGATTTGACTTGGTAATTTCTAATAAACTGGTCAATGGATATATTGTTACTAGTGAAAATAAGGATATGTTTACAATCTCTGAATGACTAAAAAATTAGATCTCCGACGTTCCGTGAGTTAGTGTAAGGCACTTCTCTGCAGAATATAGAAAACTGATTTATTTATTCTCTGACGTATGTTCTGATAATGTCTATGAAGACAATGAAAGCTACAGCTCAGAGGAAATAATATTTTCAATCGATAAGAGACCGCTAACCATGGTAAACAAGAATCTAAAGGATTTAACTGAAAGCATACAAACTTGAAGTGATAGTTTTTCGGACATTGAAATTCGTTTCAACATAATAATTAGAGACAAGTTGCAATTTTGTTTGTTATAACATTGATTTCATTAAATTGTATACTTGTAATAATTTTGTGTTTTCCTCAAGTTTCAAAATTACGGAACTATTCACAAACAACAATAAATATATCTTTTAGGATAAGAAGTCTTCCTCTTTCTCTGGCTGGTTTAAAAATGCTCATCAGTTCTATGAATTTAGGTAAGTTTTTGTAGATCAATTTTTGGTTTTTGTCGTGCAACTTTTCAAACATCCTCTTCTTGATTATAAAGCAGTCTGTAAGTGGATTGTTTATGTTGTGGCTGCTAAAGCGACTTTATTTTTTTTATCAAAAAGTTAGTGCTTCATGCTGATGACCAGCTAATGATCAGAATTTTATTTTATTTCGTAGTAAGATATACTCAACAGTACACTTCTAACTGAAAAGCTTTCAAAAGTTTAGTCCATTTTTGAAGAAAAATCAGAAGTTTCGGACTGAACTTGTGTTATTTTTGATTTGGTATTTACTTTCATTCATGCAAGTATAATATCGACATGAAACCTTTACCATCTGATGGGATGTAACTGAAAGTGATATGTGACGTAAAATTTAGTTTTTCAAGTTGCTATCATCAGAAGCACATTAAAACCGATGTAAAACTACCTTCTTAACCAAATTGAAAAAATTCATCTATTGTTTAATAACCAATCAAAGCAGCTTCGATATTTTTCATGGTTCCTTACTGCAACTGCAAAACAGATATGTAGCATCTAGATGTTTATTATGTCGTTCTGGTATTATAAGTGGCTGTGATTTCAAATGAATAAGTTATAAGATATAAAAAATATCAGCAAACAATATCTTAATTTACATTTTCGTTAAAAGTGTTAATTCCATTGAATAATATGTAGTGTATTGTGACTGTCTTGAGTCTCGCGCGCGATACCGAGTGGTCCTGGGTTCGAATCCCGCGGGCGGGATCGTGGATGAGCACTGATGAGGAGTCTCATACTAGGATGAAACAGCCGTCTAATTCTTCCAGATTTTCCATGGTGGTTTAGTTCTAATTGACTTATGAATTCAATTATTAAATTAAAAATCTGTTTGGTATTATAAAGAAGAATAATTAACTAATCTGATTAGTTGAGTTACACTTTGCGGACAAGTGATCAACTGAAGCAGATTATGAATACAGTGGGTAATGCTGGAGCAAAAAATTGATGGTCATCGAGAAGGAAAACTTCTATACAGATGTCCTGTTTCTAATTTTTTAAAGTCACGCCTAAGTTCAAAGTAGAGGATATGTAAATGTTGTGGTTACCTGGTCAGTATTTTGGGAGAACCTCTTAATATGCAGATGTATGGTCCAGTTATATCATTTACACTACTGAAATAGGGAATACGATTTGAAGTCACAATGAAATTAGTCAATGAGTTTGTGATTTATCAACAACTTGTGCGACTTCGGTATGTGACACACATGTAAAGGTTCTACCAGAATCAGTGAATATTTCATACCTGGAATAGAATCATTGTGCGAAGAATCTTAGAGTTACTAAAACACGGTATGCAATCGGTTTATTAATAATTTACTCCTATGTTTCTTTAAGAAAATGTGAGTTATTTGATGTAATAATAACGACAGCAGAAACTACATTTTTCGGGAGCATTGGGTCAGCAGAAGAAATAATCTCACGTTTCATCCCAATAAACGTGTTAAAATAAGTTTATACTTTTTGGAAATGCATCTATATCATATTTACTTACTTTTAACCTAATATTTTAGTATTGATTGATGTTTTTATAACTGTTATTTCTCTTGACACTCAAATCAGCAGAAGCGAAACAATTTTTTTAAAAATGACTTTCAACACTAGAATTATCATTATCCTTAATCATTATTATTAATTTAATACCCATTGTATAACAGCTCGTGGAATGCACCATACTCGAAAGCAAATAGCGTTACATGCTATCGATTGGTTGACGTTTGGATTACAAACGGATGGGGGAGGTGTGAAGGCGACTACAAGTCCTAGATTCACTCAGAAAATTTCTACAACACAGCCATTTCTACCAGAAGATTCAACTCCAGAAAGCATGTTTATGACGGTAAAAGTAGGTATTAAATGACAAACTGAGTAAAAAAGTAGGACACTATACGTATTGATTGAAAATAAATTCATGTGGTCATCGTAATGTGTGAACATTTTCAGCGTTGTTCTCCACTCAATTCCCTGACTTCTGATTCGTTTTTCATTTAATTCATCTTTGTCACACTAACTAACCTTGGGCATATTTACTTTACTTAGAAAAACTAATGACCAATTTTTATCTATCTTCAATGTTTAGTGGATGGTGGTAATGCTAAGTGGATAGTCAAGAATATTTTACATTAATAAAATTAACAGTCCTTTGTCTAGTTTAAGTTATTATTCAGGACAATTTACAAATAGTTAGTTTTAAAATATTATGGACCACAGTCTTGACATATTCTTAGAGAATAAGAAATCAGAGGGCTGAGTATTTCGTTTAGTTTGGTTAACTATTAAAATTCAGTAGCTGTAATCTACTCATGATCATCATAATTTCAACTGACAGGTAAGAAATTTGTGTGAATTTGCCCATTAATACTATTTTTGAAATAGCAAGATGTCTGAAGGGAATAGCAAAGGGATATCAATTTACTCTAAGAGCAATCATGTGTAGAAATGATTTTGCTGTGCACATTAAGATGTTTTTCTTGTTATTTTGTTAAGGTTCAAACTACGAATCTATCACACATTCCAGATGGCAATGTGTTGTACTACACGTGGTTAAATGGGTTGGTAGATTTTCTCACGTAGCTGCAATAGTACTCTAGTGTTTTATATTTAATAGTTTCAAATAATAAACAATCTCTATCAACAACATATTTGAATGCTCTCAAAAATTGCTATTTTCAATCACATATTCTCAATGACGTGATTCCAGGATAATATTCGTTCACACGAAATCCTCATTTGTGATTGGTTATCATAAACATCAGTTAGGCCGAAAAGTTTAGTGGTAATAAAGAAATATTTGTTATCACGACTTTAATCACTAATAATGTTGACATTTACTTATAAAACACTGTTCAGTAATTACAAAGTTATGAGTGGCATACAGTCAGGTTACACGAACCAACTATAATATATCAACTTGATTCACATAGTGAGTGTTATGAGGCTATAACTAGAATGTTTGTATTCAAATAATATATTTATTTTGTGTATTACAGTGTAGTCCGTTTACTAGTTTTCAGCGTTAATTCCAGAGAGTTTGTTCAATTTTGGTGCTACTATGAGCTACGAAACCGTTTCAGCTCAGGTGATAATTCAGTTCTACTTACATAACTAAGTGAACTGAATTGAGTTTATGACTCCCAGTACCTGAAACAGATTTTGAAAGAAATCTAAAGACTATCAGAGTTTTCTTTTGTAACGAGATTTGTTTGAATAACATTTAACGCTGTAAAGTAAAAAGAAAATCTTCAGATTTAAAGCCAGTTAATAGTGTTACAGCTGAACAGTGGTAGCTATCACTTATTATAACAAAAATTACCACTTGTTAAATGTGTAATTGGTAAAAGGAATATTTGACTAGATCATTTGTTTTACACAGCTTTTGTATATTTTGTGAATGTCTAACCGAACAAATTGTTATCTGTTTCAGCTTGATTAATTAACTCTATTTAGGCTTCTGTAACTATAAGACAACTTGAGTTCGTGTAAAGTAATGACTACTATTTATATATTCTATTTAATAAATGCTATACAAAATGTGAAAAGACAAGAAAACAGTTGGAAAAGACGCTCATAGATAAATATGATTTAATCCTAGTGCGTATATAATAGTTTGACGTCAGGATGGTGTTCAGACAAAAACGAAATGTATGTCTACTTCTGTACTAACTAGAAATATTCGACTTTTCACTAACTTTGTTTCTGTTGACTACTCTAATGGAATCTAGGATCTTATTTGGAATTGTTGTACCGATAATAATCGTAGTATCCGAATGGGGACTTTGGGACCATTATATATCCTGTTTGGACAACTTTCGACAAATACTATTATACGATTGATCAAGCTATCAGTTGAGGTAAATTCATGTATAACGAAAACATTTTCAATGTTTTACATTTTACAATATAACCATTCATGTCATACATAAATAAAACAATATCTTGAATTCTATGTAACTGACAGTATGTCAGGGAACATAAATGGGTGCTTATTGACAAAGATGCTGTCTGTTATTAGGAGGCTTCGTGATTCGCAAGGTATATCTGATATAATATTGTGTTTTATTGTCACAAAGAATGTGCTATTCTATAATACGTTCCAACAAATTATTTTCAGAATACAATTTACACCTCTTAATGAGTTTTATTCATCTATTAAGTTATTTCTTTAAATTTGGAGCTCTAGTGAGATGTCATAATCACCAAGGTTCAACCATGTTGGGGAACTAGTCAGGTATCGCTAATTCCAATGGATAACGGTTGCGTAATATAGCGAACGAACTAATGCTAAAAAAGTTAAGCAAAACTACATGGCGTCCCGTACGATCCGCGAATTACCTGGTTCGCGCGATGCCCGAAGGTCCCAAGTTCCATCCTTGTGGGCCAGCTTGGAATGGATGTCCAGCGCCTCATGGTTTTTGGTAGTTTTGTAGCAAAAGTTGACCAGTGACGTATAATACAAACTGAACAATCTCGAAAAATCCCCTGTACTCATTTTAACAAGATATTACTATCCATATAGTGATGGAAAGTTTCTATTATCCGAAATGAAAACCTTGTGAATTTTTTAGGTATTCTTCCCACTAGTTTGAAATTAAGTATTTTCACCAGTTTAAGGAAAACATTCATACAATGTAAATAAGATTGTTTTGTCAATGTTAAACAATATCATGTCTTCAGCTTTCGTGTGGTCGATTATACCTATTTTAAAAACTTCTGTCCGTTGCAGTGTAAATTTTTGTTTCATTATTGCTTAAACAGAGTTCAATTAACTGATTTAAAAAAAACAAGATTAATTTACAAGGCTTTTTGTTTTTATTAATTTAAATGAATTACTTGGTTAGTTACTATTAAAAGATCATGACGTTTTGCTAAAGATTCATGAATAAATGATATCAATATTATATTGCAAGAATGAACGGAAAAGTTTAATATAACCCACAAGAAAGTTCTCTTACTGCGTTTGCCATCAAATATGATTGTTAACTTTTCTGTAAATTGTACAAATAGGATGATCAGCCTAAGTTTCTGTCAAAGTTTATAAGAATCTAAAACGATAACCTTATTTTTCTTATGGATTAATGCCTATTTTGAGGAAATACTGTATGCTAGTCTATCTAGTTCTATTATTATTGCTATCATCATCGTGATTACTAGTTCATGTTACTATGGTGAAATATTACGTATTGTGTTGGCAGGGTACATGTTTACATTTTAGCCTAAAATGAATAACAATAGATTTTCTGAGGCCTTCCAATGAATACCCTGCAAAGATATAAAATTAAAGTAATTTTAATGGAATTCATTTTGATCATGTTGAATATAATCATTCCAGTAAACCGAGACTATAATTTAATAACCTGTCCTAGTTTAATGACCATTACGAAATATACCCGATTTTATTATCATAACCAAACGTAATATAGATTTCTGAACCTTAAGTGATTCCGTACATTTGTAGTAACAGTAGTATGGTGTCATCCAGTTCACTTGGTAAAAATGGTTCTGTAAAACTTAGTCCTTAACAATTGTATAGTGATTGATCGATTCAATATTCGTATTGAAGCAACTTAGAAATACATTAAAGTAAACAGCTCAACTCTTAATTTTTATGTATTTTACGGTGTTGAAAGTCGAAGTCAGACGCAACGTAAAACCTAGTATTTATGTATATTAATCCAAGATCTGCAACCCCAAATGAAACTAATCTAATAAATGTGTGTTTATTACTGATTTATATGAATATTTGGCTGATATATGCTTTTAAAGTTTACCATTTTTCTCCACCAATTGGCAAAAAGGCCAAAAAACAAAAACCTTAAAGCGTAAAGAAATAACCTGGCTGAGAGTTTGCAACCGTATGTAGAAAATAAATAATTTAACAGGGGATGATACTGTTATGACCTTGGATGTCTGATTTTTCTATCACGCGATTTATCTACCAATCCGGATACGACTTATACGAATCTTCACACTAGGCCAACCAATGACGTTCAACCGGTGTGGGCAGTTTAGCGTCCTTATTGGTCCTATGTCCTACGAGCCCTTCCACTTGAGTCCAGAACAAAATACCAGCTTCCGAATCAGAGCAGATCATTTATTTCAGACATACTTGGTTTATATATCAATCAGACAAACCGCAACGTACCATAAAATAGGAAATAATATTGTACACAAATAAGCCCAAAAAGTGGCTGTGAATGTGGGAGGCAGTAATTAATAAACTGAACATAACTTAAGAACCGTAAATCGTACAATAATAAATTATAGGTCAAAATAAAGCTTATCATAAAAGGAATATAAATATCCATAGTGTAATTGTTGAGTAGTTATACAATAAGAATATTTATAGAATATTAGTCCATTAATAGTCCTCGGGAGTTACCTGTAATTTAATCTCCACTCGGATATAACAGATACTTTTGAAACTCATGCCACGTTCACAAATTAATATACTACTAACTTCAACGTTTGATAAGCTGGAGGTAACACCTCCTTATCCAGTCCTTAGAACCAGGTTTCTCTGTCTGAAGATTTTTTGAAATATTTTAAAGAAAATTGTTTACGACCACCGACATTAGTTTATGAATGCACTCACAACGTCGTTGAAAATAAGGCGTAAAACCAACACCTTAATAGAGCACCGAATTCAACGAGAAAGTTATTTTTCACTGAGGGAAAAGTGAAGGGCGCCTGACGTAGGGACTTATGGTTTAAAGAAACAGAAATTTATAAAAATAAAATAACTAAGTAATAGGTTTTTGGAGATTTATACAAATATAGTTCAGCTCAATGTTATTTAATTTACTGTCAAAAATTACTGGTCACTACAGTTACTGTCTTGCAACACTTAGTAGCTTAAACTCTTATGCTGTTCAACTGTCAGTTTTAGTATGCTATTACAGTCATAGTCTTGATCCCAGTAAAACGGCATCTCGATTAACAACAGATATGTTCCTTTATATTACCCTCTGAAATTTACTAAGTGAATGGGTTTTAAATCAAACGCAAATTGATTTCAATACTTTGTATACTTTTAGGTCTATTTTCAATAGAATGTTTTAAAATAGTTTTTATGTCAGAAGGTTTTCCTTTTATTTCAGGATAAAACTAATATTGTTTAAGTAGTGGATACCTTTAAATGGAATGACAGTTGTAGTAATCATGCTAACCTTCCGAATTCTTTAGTACACTGCAGTCTGTATTAAAAATCGATGAATTGGGTACCTTTTGATTGTCGTTTAGGACAGTTTCCTGTGACAAATAATGTTCATTGTGTCAGTATACTGACAAATATAGAGATTACAATATATTCGGATCTGCTGGATAAGATTTTTATCAAGATATACACATTATAACTGCTGAATTTAATGACATTTTCTCAACATTTTCGAGATGTAATCTAAATTGTTTGCTGCGTATCCAGTTTTGATAGTGATTATTCATCATTCTTTGTGAGTAGTGTAAGTATAATCGGTAAAGCAAGACTTATTTATCTGTGATTAATGTTTTAAGTAAGCAACTGTACACAATATAGGCAGGAATAAATTTTTATTCTTATCATTTTATCCAATTATATTTCTTTTCTTATGTCTAAACACAAATGAAGATCCATTTCATTTACATTATTCACAAACAAATTAGCTTACTTACTTTCTTGTTTTCATGCTACGTTGATTAGATTATCTGGTTTTGATAATCTGTAAACTGATTTCCACAGTACTTCGGTAGATTACTCAGTATATACGTATATAGATAGATAAATAAAGATTTATTACTATAACATGTGTAACGCTTATCATACTATCAGTAATCGTTGGTTAGTGAGTTTAGCCTTGAAACGGTTACAATATACTTTCTGTTTTGTTATAGGTCAGTACTTTTGGCTGACGCTTATATATATATATATATATATATATATATATATATATATATATATATATATATATATATATTCTAATAGTTTCTTAAAAATCAATCTCTTCTCTCTGTCTCATTTCTTCTGTTTCTGAAATGCGTGAAAATCAAGCTGCATGAAAGATAATAACAATTAAAATAACCCAGATTATTCTAAACATATGAGAATACCTCAAATAGGTCTTACTCAATTTAAGTAGTGATAATACTATTTGTATGAGTAAATACAAAACCAATATTAATTCAGTAAACCAAGGCCTGCCATTTTCTTCTTTCTTCAACTAGCATTGCTTTATTTCTAACCAATATAAATAAATCTGCCTGAATCAGGGTCATTCAAATGACAATCACTGTAATTGCAGTTACGATTATAATATTTAGTAGTGTTTATAATATGTGAATTACAGTAAATCCAAAGGAATGTATATATATATGTATATATATATATATATATATATATATATATATATATATATATATATATATAAACGCACATTAACAGTAAGCAATCACTTAGAGACGTATGTAAGTGATTCATTGTATTTAAGTGCTTAGGAACAGTTGATGAAAAGAATGTTCTACGATTATGATTAGGCAGCGGGGCATAACTTCAGCCGTGTTGAGATTTATTCCATTTGTTAGGTAAATTCGACCAACGTTTATGTTAACAATATCAACACTCTAAATTATTTTTAGTGTAGTAACGACTACATTTGTATAATTAATTCAAACTTCGATGACGAAATCCTCCTAAACTACTAATAAATTTCTGAAGGTGACATTTCAAACATGAACATACTATAATGCGATGAGCACTCTTTGTCTAGACGTGTGATCGCATAAATCTTTCATATTGTTTACTTCACTGACCATTTGTAAATAATATCTAGTAGGTTTCAGCCAAAAAGAAGAGAACAAGCCTTACGTTTTTGGCCTGCAATCAGTCTGTGTTGACCACATATTCAAAATACAAAGTTAATTGAATTATTTTCAGTAACGTATTTTCAATTTTACAGTTAGCACTATCTGGTATCAACTTTACGGGTATCCGTCTGAGACAACCTCATAAAGTTTCAAATGTACACCTTTACATTTCTTTTTGTTGTTTCTGTTAATATTACCTCCAGGAAAAGAGCATTACGACAATTCTATAAAGGTTTAAGTCCTATTTTAGGAAAATATTATTTCATGCCCTGATACATTTTGTTCATATCAGTGGCTTATCTTAAATTTTTCTTTCATACCTGACATCTGTTCATTTTTTGTTGATTAGCTTTTGATTGTCAATCGTTTGAATACTATGTATACAGTGTAAGAGAATTATGACAAACGAAACTACATTAGTTCACGCTTAATAGTAAACTGACTAAAATTAAACTGTTTACAGCCTATATATATCGTTTATTCGAACAGTAAAACCATTGCGGTTAAAAACAAAGTAGGTCACGATCATAAAAAAAGTTGGAGTAAAACATTTAATCGTTTCCATAATTTCATTAAAATTTATTGACTAATTCATAATTTTATTCGTTCACAATTTCAGATATTGGAGAAACCAGAAGTCTGTGCTAGCGAAGTAACTGAAGGTGTCATAGATAGTAAGAAAGGTTTCTCTATATAGTGATACTAATGAAATCTACAATAACATTTCATCGTTTATTTATTGTTAACGCAATGTAACAGCCAGTTGCTAGTGTAAACGTCTCTATTGTAACTCAACAATTGAAAAAAATTATTTGATTTAAATAATTAACTTACGGCATATTATTTTACATGAAGTACTATTGGTAGGAATACAAATACGTTTCCTGAGGGATGTACCAAATTCAGTTGTGTTGCTATTACTGCTTCAATTTAAGAGTTTTAAAGTGTTCACTGTAAACCTGTTACAAAGGTAATATTTGAATACCTGACATGAAGTAAACATGTTATCGCAATGGGTCATAAGCCTTGGAAAAACAATTCAAGCCCATTGAACTCTATACATAATTTCCATCCCAAAATGCTTTGAAAGATAAATTAATATAGATTTTGTTGAGATTCCATAAAAACCAGGTATCATAAACAAGAATATTGTTTATTGAGGTATTACTTATGATTGTTCAACATGCTGTCCTAAAGCCTTCTTCAGATTCACCATTTAGTAGGTAGTTTCAAATAATCTTTCAGTAGCTTGGTACTCATTATATTTTTGATATTTATTCCAACGTCGTATTTAGACCTTATATTAACACTTAACAACATTTATTTATTCTATTTTAGTTACTAACATTTATTTCTGCTCAGACATATTTTTTCCCTTGAGGTCTATTTTCCTTTATGTGGTACATGGGAAGTTATACAGAACTAATAGGTTTTTATAGAGATATTTCATTACTGTTTTCAGTACTTAATGTTTTGCTGAGAAGGTTGGTGCCCAGCGAGCAATTATGTAATTCAAGGACATCATTATCTGGAAACACACTAATGTCAAAAACGAATCTTTCTGCCTATAAATTTTCAGAGGTAAGCAAACAAGTTAGAAACCATTTTGTTACCAAGCTTATAAGCCCTCAATGAATTCTATTAATGTAATATTCTTTAAGTGAATAAACTTTTGAGACAATTAGTCCTTTTGATAAATTTCGATAGCGTTAAAGGAAAACGAAGATTATCGGAACTATATGATATATTAGTGCATTACATTTTGGACAATCTGATTACACGTATACTTGTTAAGGACATTTATGTATAAAAATAAAACATCAAAGAGACAAATAGAGAGTAAAAAGAGACAAGGATAATAAAGAAAAGTGTGAAAGCAGTTTGAAACCTCATCACTCTGGATAATAAGCTAATATTATCAGGGTAGTTTTAAGATAAAAACTATCTGTTTTTGAACATACAAAGGGGGTTTGAATTTTCGTGTGGTTAAGGCTTCAATAAACCTTAGTATACGCCCTTCTACACTTTTTTACAACGCCATAAAAACTTTGTTAATATCAATCCTATGACCTGTTTCAACTATGTGTATGGCAATAGATGATTGATGTTTATACTCCATTCTTATTGGGTCAGTTGATTTTATTTGTTTCTGCAACCATTTAGGTACATGTTCACGCACCTTAAATATCAAACTTTTTTTTCCCTTGTTACATACATAGGAGTACGTTCAGAATCAGTTGTTTCCAAGACTGAGTACGATGATTACCAACTTGTTTCAGAGTAATCACTTCAATGTACGCAAAGCTGCAGTCAGAGTTTATCTAACCTGCCTCAGTCGATGTCCGAATGAAGTAGGTTTCAATCGTAATTTTTTTTGAAAACTTTGCTTAGTTTACACTTTTTCGATTTGGTGAACAGAATAAATTGAATTGGTCCGATAAATCTATCAAATTTCAGCTAATCAAAGTTCACATCAGTCCAAAGCTTTGAATCATAATACATTTTAATCATTAGAACATCTGAGCTCTATCAGAAGCATGTGTGTAGCTGGAGCTGTCCTGTACTACTCACCAAAAAAGAAATTTCTCCCTGAGGTACCTGAAAAACTTGTTCTTGCTTTGTTTAAGACTAGATTAGTAGTGATAATTTTGTGTATCCAAGATTGTGATTCCTGAGTTCAACCGGGAACTGTTTACAGCCGGTTACACATAGACTTTCTGTTAGCACCTTTTTTGCCAACTCTTTACCTATCACCGGCAACACGAATCTATGAAACAAGGTTCGGTGTGTTATTTTCAGTACCCAACTTGTTTCATTCTCAAGCGCACTAATGAATATAGTTATTACAGAAATTTGTTTTACTACAAGATTATTTTCTGTCTTATTCAGTGTTACGGCGATTTAAAATGAATTTCACAATTATTCAATTACTTCATTGTAAGCTTTAAGAACAAGCCTAAATAATCCGTTTATGAGGAAAAGTAATCTAGTAGTTGCGTATTTTGAATGACTAACAAATGGCACCATCACATCAAGTATATCCATATTGAGGCATTGGAAATGACTCCAGTCAACAATAGTCTTGGAATCAACAGTAAAAGTTGCATACCATCTACATCAAACGCCACTCAAAATGATCAGATATAATGCAATTAATAAATACCTAATCATATAACTGTTGATAATAATATTAATAATTTTAGTAACATCATTAATATTATTATCAGTGTTTGTTTGTGTATACGTCATTAGACATTTAAAGAAGTTCTTCTTCAAACTGTAAATGATTTATGCATGAACGCGGATAAGCAATCTGAAACCTACCAAGATAAATCAGTAAGCTTTTATTTTCACTTTCTTTTAATGTACTATTCTTAAAGTTAGTAAAAAAGATTTTACACTAATTGGCGTACATAAAAATGGTCTTAATATTTTGTTAAATATTTCATAAATCCACCAATTTCTAAGTTTTTACATAACTGACATCGCCAATCGCTTGATATAGTAACATTTCATTTATGAGTGTCTGTAATTAAGTGACACACTAAACTTTCAACCGTTTTTAGAACAGTAGCTTTCATTCAAAGAAATTAGTGTTTAATTTGACATCGCATCTATTCATAGTAATCGTTGCTTCCTTTTCTTAAATACATCTTTTCTCCTTAATTTTTGTCAGTTAATTAAGAGAAAAATCAAATGCTTTAACGAGACCAAACAACAAAACAAAAGAAATACAATTTTAGGCTTTATTTTTGCATTGTATATTTTACATTTTACCAGACTCAATATGTCACCATACATTCTTTATTTAAAACCTTTAATAACTTAAAACTTTAGTTATCAGACAGTTATATTAATTGCTTGCAGCCCTCAAATTTCGAAAGCTGGAAAAGTAACCCATATTTCAATGAAAGTCTCCTAACTCTTTGTCGATCTCTAATTAAGGTAAGTTTTCCCATATTATCAAAATTACCAATGTGGTTGAAAATTCTTTTCTTCAACATTCATAATAACTTATTATTTTTCATATTAATTGTGTTTATTCTTACCCTGTAAGAATGTAAAATAAAACAAAAGTATCCAGGCACTTACTAAACAATATAATCATAATAATAAATTGTTGGTAACCAGTGAGAGCGTAAAATGTGTTCTGTATTTCTTATTTCTGAATCCAGCTCTGAATCCTAGACTAGAAATCAATCATCCTATTAGATATTCTTTCCAAAACGTCAAAATGTATACAGCTACGCAAATAGTATACAATTTATAGAGCGAAAATCAAGTAATGTTACTGATAAGTCTTGTCAATTTGAACGCTTTATTCGGTTCCTAAGCTATTCTGGTAACGCAGCGACCTGAATTCGAGAGAGAAGGAGCAAAATAAGCGAAAAACACTTTACTCCAAAGGTTCAATTTTGTACAGAAAAACACGGGTATTTATGAATGTTAACATTTGTTAAATCAACATCCTATTTTGGCCAATCCGCTAGAAGACATTATGCTACCGACCAATAGTAGCACGCCACGTCGATATTCTAGAAAGCTCCATCATGCTCTGATTAGCTAGCACTCCGGCCCCTTTAGGGCCTCTGGAGGCTCCGTTGCAGTTCTTGGAAAGCCTACTCAACAGTTACATAGAAATATTTTAAAGTTAGATGTTTTTACGTAAAGTCCCTTATTCAGCAACCATTTTTTTAAATAAAATATCAATTTAATTACAAAATTTTCATATGTTAATTTTAGAAAGTTGGTGAAACCAATCTGCCTTCGAATACTGGGGACTTACAGAACTGTTTAGTTAATTTTTATTTGGGTCATTCATCTCAATATGTCCGCGATAGTGCATGCAGTCTGTACCTGACACTGTGTAAGACATTTTAGAGGAATCTATCAGATGGTTCTTGCAATCTATTATTTTAGAGACTTGTTGTATACCATATAAAATATAAATTTGTGTCTTTTCAAATACCCCTATCATAATCTACACCAGGGAAATTTCATCATATGACTTTTGTTGACACCTTTTAATAATAAATACTTAACCCAGTGTGATGCCATTAAATGCCAGTAATAGTGACTCGCATATAATCCATAGGTAATAGTAAATTTCTTCACGAACAATTGGAAATTGAAATCTCCAATACATATTTCAGTAATTACAGACTTTACGCAATATCGTCGAATGTTTTACAAGTATGTTTTATTCAAAAAGACGTGAGGTCGTTACTTTAAAAAAAAGATTACGTAAATTTCTGAAATTATTTAAAGATGTTTCAGAAGCTCTGATAACGTGCAAATGTTGAAGTATGTTGCTAACTTGAAGTTTTTTATCGCCATTAAGCGGCGTTCGCTAAAGAACCATTGGAAACGAATTAGCAATAAACTGTTACTATTTGCTTTTAATCATATTGAGTTTTACGGTCATAACCGACGACAGTAAATGATGGCTGAGATATATCGCGAATTGACTGAGGCCAGAAATTCGACTCGTGTTTAATAGAATCAAGGCAATCTAAAGGTCCTGAGTTCAATCCTTGGCGGAGTCTCTCACTGTTAAGAGTTTCCAAACCTGTAGGAATCAGTTGGATCTGTCATATCCTTTTCCCAGTCATTCAATTGCTAATCTTCATTTCATATATTTGATGATGACTGATACACGATTTGACAGTCTCGTCACATTACTTAAGATTCAATGTAACCACAAGTAATTATGCTAATAATTATGTCAAGATGTTGATTTTTTCCACTTTACAAGTCATCAGTGCCTCAAAAAATCCCAATCGTATTCGTTACCTATTGAATAAAATATTGGAGAAGTGGCAAGTTAAGCAAGATGTTGTGTTATCACCTCTTCAAAACTACTAATTCAAATAAACGAAACGGAAACTACCACACCGCGTGGTAAGTAGCATAAAAAGCAAGTTTATTTCATAATTTTTATTCACAGATTCTTACGTTAATCAAAATAATATCACCAACCAAAATAAACATCATTAAATATTTCCTCATTCGATATTTATTTTACTCATACGTTTATACGATAATCATTAGGAGCAAATAAAATATTTAATTATTCACTTAATAGTTGTCGATAATTCGACCTATCTGTAACTTTTCCAAGTATTTTAAACCTTTTCGTCACGAATCAGTCAAACAGCTGGTACATACTGATATTATGTAGGCATTGTTCTATATGTTTGCTATTATAGTGACGATATAACATAACAAGTTAAGTCCTTATGTCTAAATGCAAGTTAATGTACGATTGTAAATTTTTTTCTACTTGTATCTAATAGCATTTCATATATCATGTTCGAGTTTCATCATAAATTAGTTGTTCTCATTGTATTTGTTCAAAGTGAATCAAAGAATCACATAAAATAGTCATCTTTGTTGTGCTTACAACGCGAAAATGTTATAATTATGTTGGAATATGTTGAACTATTTTCCTTTTATTTATTTTTTTCTTTTACAGAAATGCCTTTGACTGTGAGCTCCAAATTAAGTTGGACATGGCGTGAGGGGCGCATGCGCATGTACTATTTAGTCGCACGCTCATTAGTTGGGCTTCATCTTAAAGCTCTTCACGAATTAGATGCTGATGGTTATAGCCCAATGAATTCTGAAGAATTTTGTATCAGCCCAACCTTTACAGGTAAAATCCCTTTGAACTGGTTAGATAAACAATTCTAAATCGTTTGTCCTTTTAGATGATGGTCCTCAAAGAACCTTATATACATCATCAAATAATAATTTACACCAATTTGGCTTCAGTCCTGTACCAAAATCAATTCCTCCCGCTCTTGTTTCAAATCCAGATCGTCGAGCTCCAGTTAATAAATCATCAGCATCGGTTAGTTCAACATTTTAAATTAGCCTTGTCATAGGTTTATTATAGACGTCCTATTAATTTTTGATGACCACACTTTGTACTTAGGTTCATCTAAAGGAACATTCAAGTTTCTAATAGAATAATATTAACCTTTCGTTTTAAGTCTATTCATTTTTACACGAACTTTTATTTTAGTTATAGGTCTCAGGAAGTTCGCTTTGATGTATTTAGATGTGAAAGTATTCTTAGATTCTACCAAATCCTGTCGATCTCTCAGTATCATTAAGCAGTAGATAGCAAAATGATTAACGGATAATTCTTACGGAACATAGCTTACTATTATGAGTATACATGATTTTTTATGGCTTTTTAAGAATGCTTCCTTATGGACTTTTTTAATGGAATGGATTTGATTCAAGTGAAGAGATTAAAAAGGTTACAGTGGTTTACCTGTAAATAAGTAATAATATAATATATACAGAAAAATTGGGAGGAATCATAGTTTTGTGAAAAATACTTGAGTATTTATCTAATTAGATAATTCCATTTTTGTTTTACTAATGAAGTTAGTTCATCTAGCTGTTGTTAAGGCTGTTACAAAAAATTACAGCGAAATCTGCACTAATTTCTACCCTGGATCATGTTCAGTGACGTTCAAAACTACTCGATTGCATGATATTTGGGGACTTAACTAGAAAGTTGTGATAAACCAAAAACATCAATTCTTTACATCCATCTTTCTATCTTTTTCCATCTATTTCTAGCGTCATCAAGTTATGCGCTCATCCGAAAACTGTAGAACACTATTCAGAAGGAATATTTTAGCTATCGAGGACAGTGTTCTAAAGACCATTTTGTCAACTAAATCATACGACCACTGGATGGATGGTTATAGTATATAAAAATTGTGTTTAAACCCTGATTCAGAATAAACTTAAATCTGTATACTTTATAGTATGTCAGTACAGTCAACTCTTGAACAAATGTGTGACGTTTCTTATGAATTTACAAAGAGATTTACTAAAGAAATTGAAGTGATGTGACGCTCTGTTTTTTCTACTCAGTGTAGGGTGAGCAGTATCTGGATATATATATATATATATATATATATATATATATATATATATCGCTTATTCGAATAGTAAAACCATTGCGGTTAAAAACAAATTAGGTCATGATCATAAAAATAGTTGAACACAGTTCATTGTTCACAATTCATATAAATTTTAATAGTTGAATTCATGAGTTGATGTAAGATAGACCACCATTGAAAACCTGGAAGTACTGGACGACCGTTTCGTCCTAGTATGGGACTTCTCAGCAGTGCGCATCCGCGATCCCGCACGCGGGACTTTCGGTCTCGCGCGTAGACGCTTAACCTTTAAACCACTGAGCCGGCATCGACTCATGAATTTAACTACTAAAATTACTACATTCTCCACAAACCTCCATTCGGTTCATATAAATTTTGTTGGAAATATACTTTAAAAAACAAAGAAAAGTAACGATTTTATCAATCTGAGATCAGTACATATGTATGAATTGCTAACCTCAAGGAAAACGTCCATTTTAGCAAATTATTATTAAATGTTACTAGTTTGAACCTTTTGATAGCTAGGTTATTCCATTTTTGTTAAATTTTGGTTTCCTTATAGTCACAACCTGTAGAAAGTTCACCAATTCTGTAAGTAAAGTTAAACCGTCTACTTGAAGCCATTTTACATTTTACAATGTTTTTTTGTGATGATTTAATAATTTTCATTAAAATACCAAACAGTGAAATTCGATGAAGACATTCAATTTCAATGATCAAAACATTCGTTTGCATATCGATGTATTTATAATGATTTAGTCACGCGAGAAAGTTATTATTATTATTATTATTATTATTATTATTATTATTATTATTATTATTATTATTATTATTATTAATGGCTTTATTCAATATTATATTTTGGTACAATATAGAATTCTCAGCACAATGAGTAGCATTGTCAGAGTAATAATGAGAACTATAACATCATACATAATATAAAATGTTAAACATACAAGACGGCATAATATTTATATAGTGAGTATAAATAAACTATGGATACAAGACTACTATGCTAATGATCAGTTACAATGTGTATGTAATGAGCAAATTACAATGACTACAATTATATCATTAAATCCGAAGGAATGTGAAATGAAATCACAACTCAGTAAAACGCCAGCTTAAATCGATACATAATTCAATGAACCATCACAATAATTTAATAAATGAAATTATTATCATCAAAAATAGTAATAGGTTAAGACCATTTTAAATACATATTTCAAAGAGTTTTATGTTGCACACGAAAACCGTATTCCAGTTAACCAATGCTTTTATTTTTTCAAACAGTAGTAGCCGAAATAATCTTCATAGATCTAAAATGATCGTTTAACCAACGTTAAAATACCGTATAGGTTAGTTGGGCTATCGAAATCAGCTAATTATGTTTATATTCAACTCCTAACTACTTTTACAAGAAAAGAAAACCCAGTTAGATAAACTGTACAGTTTGATAATGAATTTATTGAAAAGAAATAGGGTACAATTTCAGTTTCTACCACGATTTCTCCTTTCATACATATACGATTTAAAATTGGTTAGTCAACATTCTTTGTTTATACATTTCATACATTATAAACTAAGCTCACCAAGGAAATAATTCTGACTTGAAGTAAACATTGATTAAAAGTATATGGAAGAGGAACTACAAGATGGTTCGAGGAAATATTATCCTTCTGTACATGACAAAAATGATATCATTCATTAATGTCATTCTTATTCGTTCACCATGATAACGGATTTAGTTATAGTAACACTTCTATTTAATATGTAAGCTGATCAAAACTTAATTGAAAACTAACAATAACAATAGAAATCACAGCTTCAGTTTATTTCTATAAAAAGAAATTGTTGCTAAACTAGTGAAAAAAGACCTGAATTAATTATTATTATAAACTGTTGTCAATGACACATACAATCTTAATAACTTAATTTTAGCTTATGGATTTGTAAAAATCAACTTAATTGAGACAGTTACTTCTCTTTTATAAGTTGTCGTTGTGTTCATTAAATGTTGCTTTCATCACTACATGGTGTCAACTACAGAGCTATCCAGAAACCAGGGTGTATTGATCCACCATTTCATTTTGTTTTAAACCACACCTTCGACTTTACGCTAGATTGTATCCACAATATTTAAGTCTCCTGTAGAGCACTTAACTATCAGCTAATGAACTGAAGTCTAGTGTCGCATATTCTCCAACTCTAATCAGTTTGCAATATTGCTCGATCATCATCATTCAGTGTTATCAGTTAATGATAATGTCACTCCTTTCTTTCGTTTATTTAGCTTTCAACAGGGGGGAAAATTAAGCTCTCCACAAACGTCCATTTATTTAACAGTTTTGGAAAATATCCGAATGCTCGACAACGAAAGAAATGTGAGTTTACGTTTTCTGAATGTTTATTTTGACCGTAAATTTCGAACATTTTTTAGAAATTTTCCTTTTATTTGACCTGTATATTCAGTCAGTAAAATTACTAAAGGTTATCGAAATTGACCAATTGCCAAACGTATAAGATTGTTACCTTCCTGTACACAACACCATGCTCATGTTTAACAGTGTTCGAAAATGTTGAATATAAACTAGATATTTGTTTACTATACGATGCTCTTTATTTATTATATCTGATGCATTTACGTCCATCTGTATCTTAATTTATTCAGCTCCCACTTGATATGTTTCTGTTATTTGGATCAAGAAGACACTACTAAAACATAATTATTTTGGCACTGTTTAGAATATTAATAAATTTACAATTCTATTGTGCTATTTAAAAGGTTTGACTGATTTTTTTAAAATATTGTTTACAAAGCAAGTGTAGTAAATGGGACGAATCGAAAAGAATTAATCTATATCAAAAACTATTAATAAGTTACATAGTGTCTCAAATCATTTTCTGATTCTTTTTTAATTTTCTTATAAATGGAAGTGTTTTTGAATGATGAAGCTTTGTCAGTACCATACAAGTAATATTTGTAGTCCATCGTTCTCATCACTAAGGTGAATTTTCATTATATTCACTGAGCCCTGTGACCACATGTTTCAAAATGCGCCTTACAAGTTTCCGAACATCTTCAAAACATACATTTTTTCAACAATTAATAGTTTTATTCTTAAAATGTAATGAATGAAAATTTTCATCTTACCGTTTATTTAAATTCATAATTCATAATTCGCAGTAGTATCAACTGCATAATTAAGTAATAACATTTCAACATTTCAAGTTAACAGATCTCGGAAATTTTTTAGCTTGTTATAAGACATCACTTCGCATGTTTATGCCACAGTAGTTCCATAAATATTGCTTCATTAGTGAAGCTGCTAGTAAGGGGTTATCAAAATTTCCAATTCTCATATATAATGAATCTTTATTTATGTTAGACCTCACCTTTTTCACCCTAAAAGAATAAGAGTTCATCTAATTTCGGCATTTGTTTCGTCACACATAATCTGATAAAGCGTGGGTTTTAGAAGTATATATATTTTAAAAGATCTTTAAATACTACTTTTCTAAAGCTGCTCATCAGTATAATGGAAAAAACAGCATCAGTTGCCATAAAGCAAATCTGGAAATTCTATCTCTTTAACCGCAAATAAAGATTAACTGCTTCTTGAATCGTTTATATATATGAACTTTTCTGTAAATCGAAAAAATATTTGTTATATTGAAATAATTATTCTTAAAAATAAATAAATGATTTTTCCTAAGGTGATGATTAACATTGTATTTAAGGTAATGTTGATGTTAATAATAGCATAATACTTTAAATGAATTTACTTTCTTGGTTTCTTATAGGATAAACAGACGGATAGCAAAACTCAGTCGTGGATTAAACGTCTAAGTATAGTGTCAGGATTAACTTCAACGAGTAAAACAAATGTCGGTCATTCAGAGTTAAATTCTATCAGCATGAAATCTATGTCATTCAATATATTACGATTAGCTGTAGAGTGTACATTAGATGAGAACAATGGTCTACGTCACTCAGCCCAAAAAGTATCCGTTATATGTAATTTTTCCTATCATTAATGTTTGATAAATTGTTTTGTTAAATCATATCCACAAATAAAAAAATGTACGCACATGAATTAGACATTTACTGTATAGATGAAAATAAACCATGCTCAGGTTTGATAACAAAAATCTAACATTGTCTTTTCCAGTCAATTTTAAGTCACATTGTTGACCACTATCAGTTAACTGTAATTGCTGTTTTGAATCAGCTTGGATTCAAACACATGCTTATAAGTATTTTTTGAAGACATTAACATAAAAATTATCCTAGCATGTTTGCAATGAAATATTTCCAACGACGTGTTCAGAAGTTTGGACGAAGTTTTCGGAAGTAACTAGACACTGTGGTGTGAATACCTTAGAGGTTATGATAATGATCAAGTATAAATTAAAACAATAGGCAAAAGAAAGGTAACAAGAAGTTACAAACTATTGACATAGTGCAAATCCATAGCTTGCAATCGTCTATTTGCATCTTTTGGAGTATTCTGTCATCTGAACTGTCTTCTCGTCTGGTTACTAAATGTTCCGTCAAATGCTGTGCTTTCTATGCACTCAAACTTCACTCCGTCAGACAACTGCTGCAATTTCGACGCCACGTTCCGCTACACACTACAAATATCCTTGTATTGATAGTAGTTTTTTGTGGTTTATATAAAGGTGATACCCTTTTTCATGTTAATCAACACTTCTGTTTCATTTTGTGTCACGAAATTGCAGACTTTTGAGATTAATAACAGTTTCTTTTGTTTAGGCCATTAATGATTTCGGAAGGCTAATACGATGGTATGATGCTGATCTTTTGTTGGAAATGATTTCGTTGCATATGGTAGGTCCGCCAACTATGATGTCGTATGCAACTTTAAAGATTTTACGTGATGGTCTATCTGAATTATGCATGTATGATGAAATTTTACAAAAAGAAGAGGAAGAACCTGGTTTTACTGAGAAATATGCGATTTCTGGAACTGTTCCGATTTTAAATGTAGCATTGCTTTATGGTTTGTTTTCGCCAGACAGATCAAGACTGTGGCTTCAATGTTGCCAGCAATATATCCTGGATAGCACAACGGCTCTTTTTATCAGTACTTTATCAATAGAATGTGCTTTGAGAACCCTTTGTCTTGTACACAGATTGTCTAATCTATCACTCGTAGCATGCACCTGGAAAATATGAGGCCTAATCCTTTTTCAAATCTGCCATACGCACAACGTAAACTAGATCTAGATGCGAAAGATGTAGTAAGTTACTTTGGAACAATCAAAATTTACGATATTATATCCATATTAAACGCTTATTGTATATGGTAATATTATATGTTTTAGGTTCGATTAAATAAACGGTTGGTCCCTAAGTTTACTGAAAATGAAATGTAGTCTTCATTTTTGGGACAGAATTTGCGTTCTCGAGATTTGAAGATTTATGAATAAATTATTTCAGTTTAATAGTAGTTTACAAAAATAGCATGATAATTAGTGCAAATATAATCTAATTTAGAAAAACATTTAAAGAAACTCATTATAGACATTGTCATCTTATTTAAAATGTAATATAATAGATGTTAAAAAGAGATCGAAACGATGAGAATCCCATCCCAACTAATAGATGTACACTTGTAAAACATGTTCAAAACTGGTGGTTTGTTCAAAAGACACTATCCGTTTGTTTTTTCAATTCATTGGTATGATACACGTGACTCAGTATTAAAGTGAACATCTATTAACTAATACGAAAACGCACGTTAATTTCTTCTAGATGAATGTTTAAGCTTTAAAACTTTTTTATATAAATTAACTAAAATGTATGTATTTACTTTTAAACCAAACGAATCATCATAATAACGAGGTTGCTGTAACTACAATTCTATTCTTATCATTTGATTTCAAACTTAAGCTTGATACCTTCATCGTGTATGGGCTCCGACCAATAGTCTCCAAGTAACTCTGTTCTGGGCTTTTATTTCCAGTTCCTTCCAAGTATTATTCATGATCTTAATGTCTGCCTCCAAACTTCAGCCCTATGTAGTCTTTGTTCTGTCTCTTCATCTTTTGCTTCCAAGATTTCATGTTAGGGGTTGCCTATAAGGTAGTCAGATGGTTTTGGTAGGATGCTTTGTCCTTCTCAACTGGCACCTGACTTGTTTTCTGCCACAGAAGATTAATGCTGACGGTCTCTGACCGATGGATTCGAAATATCTTGCATTGACAGTTATTATAAATCCCTGTACATTTCTAGTGATAGTTGTGTTAGTTATTCACGTTTTAGCTTCGTACAATAGAATTATTCTAACATTTATGTTGGAAATTATGACTTTGGAGTTGAGAAACAGTTGTTCCGAATTACAGATGTTCTTCAGCTGTATGGATGTTCTTATGGCTACACTAATCCGTGCTTTCACATCTGCATCAAATCCCCCTTGCTTATTCATGACGTTGTCCAGGTACGTAAAAGTTTCCACCACTTCCAGAGCTTCTCCATCAAGTGTGATTTGGTTGTTTCGCAATATATTGTCCTTCAGAATCTTTCTTTTTTCTTGTAAGTGTTTAGGCGTGTTTCTGCTGAAGCCGCTGTTGCATCGTCTCTTTCCACCTAAATTTATTTTGTTTGTGACACAAGTGTTAAGTCATTCATAAAGTTCAAATCATCCAGCTTTATCCAAGGTCTTCGCTGTATTCTATGTATTTCCTTATATGTGTTGGACTTCATAATCTAATCAACAAGCAGAAGATAAAAGAAAGGTGAAAGTAGGCAGCCTTGGTTTAGGGTGATTGATAACTCTCTTCTCAGACCTTCTTATTTATCCGGTGGTAGCTCTAGAGGAGCTCCAGGTGGAGTTATTATTAATGTTTACTTTATTATAAATGCATTTGGAAAAGTGGACTCATCAAAATTCACGGTGAACTTAGATTTGAATATTTTGCACACTTGATACTTATTCTTCATCATAATTTATTTTCTGAATCAAATGCTTCTAGAGAAATTTTTAAAATTTTCATTTAGTTAACAACTGTAATTACCCATCGACACATTAATCGTGAAAAATATGTGTGTGAAATAAAAATTGTTTGCTATTTTAAAACATTTTTTTGTAGTCTGGAAATTTGTTTTACGATTCCTCAATTCAAAAACTACCCACCAAATATCATGAAAAATAAATTGCTGAACTCCTGAACGTATTGAAATGAAATCGCTCGAACCCTTAAGCAGTAAAAATAATAAAAGTGCTTTAAAATATCCTATGAAAATACTAAATAACATAATATTAACTCTGCTGAAACTGGGGAAAACAGCTTTTTGCGTCATGGTATATAGTCGATAACTGTGAAGTAAATTTAATAAACAAGAGACCAAATAAACCTATAGTTGGTTGGTTATATTTATAATGCATAGTTTTGAGAAACCTGAGTATACTTTTAACATGGCAGTCTTTAGTAAGTTGAACAACTTAGAATTGTACAAATTCTAGATTTTCACTCTCTTTACTTACTACTGATATTAGTGCAGATAAATTTAACTTTATGTCACAGGTTTTGAAACTTAAAATTGGTTTGATAGTAAATCCTTTATTTAATAAAAAACTGTAGGTAGAATGTATTAAAGGCGTTGTCGAATTCGCTCAACGCATAGACGTGAAACTTGGACCTACAAATGAGCCAATACTGAATATTGTCAATTTCCACAAAATGATGATAACGCAGAAGCCATATTTATCATGGTATGTAACAATTGTCTGGACGTTTTATATGCCTTATAGTTTGTTTATTCAAAGAACACAGTAAAATGGCACCGTCGATTAGCTTTAAATTTTTGAATACTTATTTTACAGTGTTGCTAATAGTTATTGAAATTAACTTCTCCGTGGTAATCACACTCTAAAATTGAAATACACTGTTTCCACCGATTGCATTAAACTTATTTTTGACGATTGCCCATATCCTCTTATGCTGGGTGAACACTAAACTAACATATACATGGTACAAAGACAGTTTTATTCTTATAAAAACAGTGACTTTCATAATTCGCCAGTATATTTTGACGTTATTGTTAGGAAATAAGCTAGTTCACTGACTTAACTATTACAATCAGCGATATTACATAATGTATCTATAACTTACAACCATTTTCTGGTTATTATTACCTGATAAAGTGGGTTCATAAAAAATTAGACGAGTAAGGGGTCTATGGAAGCAGTAATTCCCATCCGCAATACCATCGATCTCACTATATCGTAAAAATTAAAATGTCCTCACTTATTAAACTTAGAAATTATCGCAATCAGTAGTCACACTATCATGTAAGAACTAGACCAGTAAAATCTAATAGGATGTCTACTTTTAGGTTCTGTGTTATTATTGTATTCGGTATCATAACCTAAGTGTATATATGGTTTATATATGTGATAGAACAAAGTGGTGAACCCAATAAATAGCTTAAATTCACCATGTCTAGGGTCACTATTTTATAGGGAAGTAAAACGTCATTCATATCATGTTCAAACTATGATGATTGAGACAATCACTTGATAATTTTAACAGAATTATGTCATTCACGTTTGATGTATTCTTAGCTATTTTGTTCTATTCAAGTAAATGATTTTTGGAATCTAACCAACTATTTATGTTTTGAATTCTGAAAACACCTTAGTAAACAGGGTTTACCGTATTTAATTTTGAAAATTTTGAGTACTCTTGATTCATGTTTCGTTACTTATACGAACACAGGAGACAAAAGTTAAACTTGTGTGAGTTTTGACACGAATTGAAACTCTGGGTTTTAAAATTTAGTCAGTTCTCAATTAAAAATGAACGAATACTGAGGACGTGTTTGATTATTTGTTGCAGAAAGCAAACTAAACAATTTTTATGGTTTGAGGTATCAATTCCATTCAAACCAAAGTTACTTAATTTTTGACAATTTTTACCATATTTCATTTGTTCATAATTATTTTGTTAATAACGTATTTTGTGAACTGATTTCACGTTTTTTTTATTCCGTGTTGTATCGTTAAAACATTTAAAGAAACAAGCTTTAGAATCAGTTAGAACGATAACGAGTAATCGTGAATGAATTTGTAGCATATTTGTTACAGTTTATGATCAATTAAACCTTAACTGAAGCCCTAACTAAGAGTTTGGTCATATTACTGATACCTTTTTTATGCGTACAAACGTCATTTTACTGTTTCCAGATAATATGTAAGCTTTAAGTTAAAATTTGAAACAATTACACTATTGCTTATGATGTTTCTTCATGATTGTTGGTAGTTAAAATTGAAGAATTAGTTGTCACATCTTCACCAGTAATGTTTTCTGATTCCCAATAGTTTGAAACTAAGAATGTGTGGAATCAATAACAGCTTCTCAAGCAAACAGGCAGGATAATTGTAAAAATTCGGAATAATATTAAGAGCTAGTGATGGTATTTTGCATTACATCTTTTCTACAGCGATCTTAAAAATACAACTGAAAACCATTCTTGCTATTGTATAACATGTACACATTTAACAGTTTGATCAGAGATGATAATTACGCCTAAATTTCAAAGTCAGTTCACTTCTAGTAAATTTGAGAACTATTTTGGCTGTAAAATTGAGTTTTACCGAATACCCAGCTGTAAATGATAGGAATGAATTTCTAAAAAAGTTGTTTTGATTAACAAACCTAGAAATTTAAAGGAAATTCGGACTCATGAATTTAGTCACTTCATTTTATTTATCTGTATACTAATCAACTGACATTATTTAATATTAGAAACTAATATATAATTACTGAATACTCTCTATAGCCTACCTGATATATAAAGACGCTGAAAAGATCAGGATTAATTTATAGTTCCAAATTATACTCAGGATATTATTAGAAAAAAAATGTAAGATATAGCATAGTTATATTATCTTACAGAAGGACTTTCAATTTCGCTTTTGTAATACATTTTTTGTCATGTCGCTTTTGACTTTTGAATTTCCATTGGTTTACTTAGTTTACAGCTCCCTCAATCAACTGCAAAGTGTTCACTTACATATTTCGTCCTCAAGCTGGTTACTAAACTGGAGTCTGTTATATATTCTTATATACCACCATCCGTAAATTCGAGTCGGCCTAATCCAGATGTTCGTATGACTGGTGGTCTTCTTTTATCCCCAATATTGCCATACCTTATCACGTGGCCATTAGCTCTTCTTCCTCCTAGCTTGGATAAAACTTTAGGGAATCCATCAAAGGAGGCGAGGATACTTGCTCTTCGTAAACTACTTCGCTTGTGAGTTTTATGTAGAACTTTAATTATTGAAGCAGTTCATTGTTATCGCTTAATTACATATTGCTCCAAACATTTGCTTATCATGATTACTCTCACAATGTAGATTGTTTTCTAACTTGATAAAAAGGCCTAAGACCCTATGAATTCTCTCAAGAGCAGTGTATTTAACTGTTCTTGATCTGTAACAATATGAAAACAAGATATTTCAGCTTTATTCAATAATCATACCTTATCTAAAGTGAGCACATTCTTAGTACATTATGCTCGTTTAAATTTATAACTGGATGCTTTTGTTGTTGACGAAAAATTATTAACTAAAGTCAACTTTATGACGATTCTTCATCTACTGAACCAACAGAAACAAGATGTTACTTATGTCCATAACTAACCAATCTAATCATTGCTTATACTCCCATCACGCCGATTGATCTGATGTGTCTCGATATTATCCCTATTACATGTAACCTGCCAACTGAAGGATATTATTATCCTATTATATTAGTGTGGCTCACAATTTCTATTCATTTCGATAAGATACGGAATACTAGTCGGTACGTTTGTGCGTTTCACTTAATGACTATAATTCCTCTAATTATTGTATTAATCGAATTGTTTTTTTACGTTTAGAAACAGATCAAGTTTAAAACACAGTTGTCCTTGTTCTGACCAGAGCTTTCATATAGACTCCGGGGTCGCCAGTATCGCGTTTACAGCTCTAGTAGTACATCATTAGGACAAATTAAATCCTACACAAGTGTCACACATAACAACAACATGGGAGTTAAGTCAGTCAGTCAGTAACTACGTAGCACTTCGTACGTACGTATATCAGTTACAGTTGCCACACCACATTAGCACAAAGATGCAGGTGTCGATTCAATCCCCGTAGTGGTAGAGGTAATAAGAGTATAAGCAGAAATCCGAAAGATTAGGGTTTGAAGATGTTATTTAAAGAGTATAATACAGTGAAATAAATTTGGGAAGAGAAAAAAAGAGACAAGGAGGAATAAGGACATTAGAATTCGGGAGAACACAAAGAATGTATGCATTTGCGCCATTGCAAATGATTTTGAGCCATGGCATTCAGGGTCTCTAACCATCGGTTGCTATCATCTCGCGGTCTCCAACCAGGTAGTCTACACCTACCAACATGACTCAGTCCACTTGTCAGTGACTTCATGGACTTGTGCCATGTTTTGGTCTGGCCGCCCCTAGCTTTCTTCCAACCTACTCTTATACCACTGAACATCGCACGTCGAGGCAGTCGGTCGTTGGGCATACGTAACACATGTCCCAGCCATTTCAACTGATAAATTCCCACCACTTCATCAATCGATTTGCTATCCTTACCTAGTACCCGTTTCCTAACAACTGTGTTACTTACTCGATGGTCCCACGATATACGAGCAATATTTCGAAGACACCTATGATCAAATACTAGTAACCTACGAATATTCTCTAATCTAACCGGCCATGTTTCACAGCGGTAAATTAGTACGGAATGTACTGCTGCGCAGTAAGCTTGTCCTCTGTTTGGTAGACGGATATCTCGCCTACGCCATAAATGGAGCAATTTGGCAAAGACTAGTCCAGCCTTCTGTGTCCGTGCTGTGATTTCGTAACACACCAGAGCACAAGGGTTGATCAGATTACCAAGGTAAAGTGAAGTCGTCAACAATCAGTGATTGCGACCAATTAGATGGGATTACGTCCAGCTCCCAAATCCTACCTAAGACCTCAATCAGTCTCATTGCTAATACTGGACCACCATCCTTAAAAATCTTCAGGAGTAAACCTGTCAGGGCCTGCTGCTCTCCCTCACTTCAGATTTCCTATAGCTTTTTCAACTTCGTAAAGAGTTGGAGGACCTACATTAACTTGCCATTCAGGTTGACTAGAGATCATGCGAGTTAAAACGTAATGACAATTAGTACGAAATAATGAAAGACAGTAATTCTAAAGTATTAATTTAAGTCATTACAAACAACCAAAAACAGTTTCGCCACGTGTTTTAATGAAACATGGAATATCAACAAAGTCCTTGGAATACGGTTATAGTTAGTATACCACGTCTGCGCAAACTGAAGACTTCAGAATTAAGTGAAGTATTTAATTATTTGGATTTCTATTAATTGTTCTAGTATGTTTGTATATGTAAGTTTCCTATTATTAATTACAGAATTGCAGCTATAATACTTGCATTGCCGATCACAAATAAGCCTGAATTTTCAAAAAGTGAATCAAGTGCAATAAAAGGTAATGCATTGCTAAAAGAGCTTGCATCAATTGCTGAACATTCTGTTGAATTAGAAACTGTTGTCAGTGCTTGTTTTACTCAGTTGGAAAATCTTGTTTCTCAATTAGTAAGCATGAATAATTTTTTAAAACATTTACCTTCCAATTTTGACAGCCTGATTACGACCGTCATTAAAAACATCTTACCGAAATTAGATGTAAAACCCTCCCGGTACATAGAAATCTGAGAATTTTCTTATTCAAAAAACAAATGAAGCAGAAATTATCTTTTTATTAGTAATCATATGATGAAAACTATTGACACGACTTACATGTACATACCCGTTGATACCTGAACAACGTTATCTTTTAAAATGATTTTCTAGAGTATTGTTCTGTTAGCGGATGACACTGATAACAAAGCTATAATCACATCGAGCGAATATATATATATAAAGAATGAGTCATCGAGCGATATTTAGGTGATTAACAGTTAAGCTAGAGAAAGATATGTGATCAAATATACACGATTATACATACATGATAGTGACCATAATGATACAAAGAAATAGACGAGTTGTTACTGTCCGAATAAACAAATTAGCTAATAAAACGGCTCGACAGAATTGACTGTAGGAGAGTTGTTGTACACTATTTAGGTTTAAATTTTGAGGGCTTTTCCTTATGATACTCTTCCTTTTATTCCGACTACTTCCTTCGTTTTGATAAGACCAGACTGTTGAAACATTACTATAATGCATCAAATTAAAGGAGTCAAGTAATTCCAGTAAAATACTAATGCCTTTCAAATGTTAGCTTTTTTGTGTAATTCAATATTTGAATTCATTGTTACTCATGGTAAACAAACAATGGAAATTTACCAGCAGATTCACTTAAGATACTTCTAAAATATTATTCATATTTTAGAATCTTTATTTGTTTTGTCGTCACACAAATGTTCATCGGTATTATATTTTCAATATAGAATCAATATTACGAACCTACCCGAATATGTACTACTACCTCATGGTGGTGGATCCGTGCACTATGTGAACATCTACCTCGACTTATGCAAGTCGCTCCATTTTCCAATCCTGTAAACATATTACGTCTTCTAATCGAAGATGTTAAAAGGAAATCTATATTATCAACAAATACCAAACAAAATACTGGTCACCAGACGGCGGAACCAACAAAATGGTCGAGAGCACTTGAATACGGTCTTCAGGAAGCCAAATCTAAAATAAGAGTAAGAGAAGGCAGTGGAGCGTTAAAGTACCAATGGCCTAAGGTTGGTGAGATTTTACAAGCTAAAGAAACTATAGAAAAACAGTATATACTGGAAAGCAAAAGTGGAAAAAAAATCACCGACAAGATCACTCTCATCTCATATCATAGATACTGCTCCTTCCCCAATAGATGAAGAACAACATCGTTTCTTTGTAACGAGCGACAACGAAGAAGAAGAGGTTTTCATTCTACATGAAGAAGTAGATACTTCCTCTCTTTCTGATAATGATGATGATGAAGAAGAGCAAGAACAAGAAATTAAAGGTAAGATTTCATCACTAAATTTAGTTGTATTAATGTTTAAATATGATATTAAGAAAGCAATCATGATGTGACAAAAGTGAACGTTTAACTTGGTGTGCAGGATGTAGAAAAAAGCCAGAAAATAATATAATTGTTCAAAAAATAAAATGTGTTAAAGTCTCCGGTTAATAACATTTCACATTTTATGAACCACAGAAAAAAAATCTCACTTTCCCATTTGAACATAACTCATCTGTTGATTTAGGTGCTCGTATTTGTCTTTAAACCTGATTCACTTTTTTTTTACTCTGGCTCAAATTTGATGGAACGTTGGCGTTAAGCAAATATACATGCCACCGACCCTTGTACATATTTATCGACGTAATTCGCGTTAGAAAATAACGGAGTAAAATGAATTTTGAATACGTATATTTTATAAACTCGTTGCCCCAGATAAGCAATCAGAGAAACGAAACGGAGAAGCAGACCGGAGAAGATAATTGTGTCAACTCAGTTTGATAAAGCCTGATTCAACATTTATAGCTAAACAAAAGTAAGCTAAAGATATGTGCTGAGTAGCATAAGCAACGGACTTACATACGCTCATATAGAAATATTTAAGATTAATAAGCGAATAATTGATAAGATAAAAATGTGACTCATGAAGAATGAATAAATTGGTCTATCAAGAGGCTAGAATAACCTATGTGGGCTTGACACAATACCGACACCACAACGTGATACCTAAGATGAATGTTCAACGACACTTAATTTCCAACCTTTACCTAAATTTGGATCGATTTGTATAGAACACCATCAACAAGTATATCTAGGTGAGTTTTCAATTTTTTGCATTTTCATTCACGTTTGACTTTGGACATGAACGTAAATGTCTTACATTCTGTTCGACTAAGTGGTATATTTTCTTTTATAATAAATTCCAGTTATGTTGCGATTTATTCTCTGTTTTGTAGAGTATACAAACAAGTTTTTTTTCATAATTTTTCTCTAGATAATTTATTACATAAACAAGAGAAGGTCCGCAGCCTGTAAGTATTCCTCAACTGCTTTCGTTATATCCGTGTATCCCATATCTTTATTAGAATTCGACGATAATTTTGGTAGATTCATTCCCAGTTTAGTGTAGACATTGTTCTAAATTATAGTTCTGTTTATAAGAATCAATAATCCATTTTGTTTTACAAACTTAACAGTGTGTTAATGCATGTGGGCTGTGGTTAACAGTGGAATCAGGCCACGCGTTTCATTTTATTCCAGCAGAGTTGTCTGTGTTTACCTGCACCCAAATATTGATGCCCACATTGAGAGTCAAGTTTAAAATCTGTCGCTTCGAAAGTGAAAACCTTGTTCAATAAATTACTAACCCCATACAGCCACTAACTTATTCAACAGATATGAGATTACCTATACAACTGTTTGTTCCGTTGTTGACTCTATCGATTCCCAATCGTGAATTGTTACTTTGTTTTGTTAGGTTATTTTCTATGGGATATACCTTATTAATAAAAGGTTGAGAATGTAGAAGATTAAGAACATTTGTGCACCTTCACACAAACCTTGACCTTGATCACCTAAATTATTAAATTTGCTACTTTTGGAAACGTAAGAATACCAGGAAAAATAAATGGACTTCACTTGGGTAGCACGTGGAAGGCATAACTTAATGTAATGACATGATATTTTTCTGAATCCATTATCGCTTTTTATTTGTGTTGGGTTTGCCTAAATAAATTTTCATCAAAGATACCAATATTTGCTAGTTCGTTTGGTTTCACCATACTTTAAAGATCCCAGTAATAAAATACAGATAGCTGTTTATGGTCTCTGACTATCAACACTATATCTTACGGTTGTGAAAGAAGGCAATATTTAGATTTTTATTGACATTAGGGTATATTATGATGGTCATAAATGTTTGACTTTGACAAGTTAAGAGAAATCGCTTTATTTATACTGAGATTGATGGTATATAATTCTGAATTGATTGAACGTTTTAGTAAATTGAAGTGTTTGACTCACTAAACGTCTTTATTCGAAGAAAAAGCGCAACAGTTTTTAGCGTGGAGTCGAGTCGAGATTAACTATGAACACCGCTACAGAGAAACGCGTTCCAAGTAAATCAGAAGGCGAAGGTTGAACGTAACCAAATAAATCCATAAAATCCCCGAGAAGCCAAATATCAGAAGGCAGTTAATAGACCAAGTCGAGATATATTTGCTGGCGATCTCGTGGCATCGAAAGGATACCGAGATCGTGCCAGGATACAAGCTTGGTTACAGAACGTAACCGAATTCGCGCGAAGTTACAATCAAAGTGGGTGTATATGAATGGAAGCACAAAATAGCTGTCATTAGCACAGTCAAACAAAAGCACATTAAAACAAACACTGGTACAGTTGGTTATAATAATAATTGTTTTTATTAAACCAGTCGTGTTCTCGTGATAAATGTGAGTCACTACAGGAGCCCCCCGCTAGAAAGGGTTTACACTTTCGATAAATAGCGGTTTAAATCGTGGGACTGATCGGCTGACGAGCGATTGTAGGACGGAAGAATTGGCGAACAGGAAAGCGATCGTTGATCGTCGAGTTGCCAACGAAGGTCGTTTTCGGAGAACGGTACCAGGAGCGATGTGCTGTATTTGTTGCTTGAGTTGGCATGCTACACGAGTGGTTTGTATCCAGAATCTGAAGATGGCGTTCGTAGGGGTCCGGACCAGAAACGCTGCAGACGTAGGACGAAACCACGTTGAGCCGATGAACCAGAAGCGACCATAACGACCAAGTTCGAGACCAAGCGTATGCCAAGCATTCGAAACAAAATATCGACTGAGTACGTTGACAAGAGCGTGGGTGGCCAATCGAGCTTTCGCCAAAGTTGACTGAAGTCGACGGAACCAAACGGAGATGGTCGAAGGCGTGGGCTCAGGAAACAAAAAGAAAATCAAAAAAGAGAAGAGTGTAGCATGCGTGTAGTATAGGAATAATCCTACACCGTATCGGTTTTTAACTGTGCGGCTAGTCGCGGAAGCGTACGGGTAACCGTACTCGGCGACCGGAACGTGAGACGGTAGTCTCGTTCGTATCTCGTGAGCCTGCAATCTCATCCGAGGTCAGAGGCGGCGTGGTCTGCTGATCTGGACGTGAGACTGTCGTCTCGTCCGTAGACGGTGCAGATGACGCGTGCTGTTGACCGGGACGTGAGAATGAGGTCTCAGATGTATCTAGCGTGGGACCTGAAGAAGATTTGAGGATCCCGCTAGTAGGTTTGATAGGTCTAGCATTGAATCTCAGGTTATCAGATAGGGCACTGTCATCGACGTGTGCTGGTTTGAGACGATCAATGCTGACGATCTCGACGCGTCCATGTCGATCAACCTTGAAGGTCTTTTCGTGACGAGCGATCACGTGAAAAGGGCCTTCGTAAGGTTGTTGCCAAGGTTTGCGTACCGAATCTACTCGTATGAAAACATGTGAACAGGTAGATAACTCTCGAGGGAGAGCGACCTGTCGATGTTGTATTCGAGTTGACACCGGAGACAGCGTTCGCATAAATGCAGACAGTCGATGGACGTAGTCTGATTTACCGAAATTAGGTCTGCTCCGTGGTGTGAAGAATTCTCCGGGCAGACGCAATGTCGTGCCGTATACAAGTTCAGCGGCGGAACATTGGATATCTGCCTTCAGGCTCGTTCTGATCCCTAAAAGAACGAGCGGTAAGGTTTCGTGCCAGTTGCCGTTTTCGTGTGCTCGTAGAGCACTTTTAAGTTGGCAGTGAAACCGTTTACTTAACCATTTGGTGCTGGGTGGTAGACGGATATGCTTATGCGTATGCATTCCGTACCAAGCAGCCGGGTCAGCGAGGAGAATAGTTAATAGGGGAAAATTTCTCGAATAAAGCGTGGAATTCATCGTCACGCGAATAAAAAGTAACAAGGATTCGGTACACATACATGTGAGTCTATTATATTAATACTATTCTTATCGTTATCCGTCATGTCGCGTATATTATATATTAAAAAATATGAAAATATACGACAGACGTGGATAGATAAATCATAGACTCACCGAATTGGCTTCTTTGGAAGATTTGACCAGAGGCTGGGGCGTGTTCCAAAATACGGCTCACCAGTTGTAGCGTGGCGTCGAAAGGATACCGAGGTCGTGCCAGGATAGAAGCTTGGTTACAGAACGTAACCGAATTCGCGCAAAGTTACAATCAAAGTGGGTGTATATGAATGGAAGCACAAAATAGCTGTCATTAGCACAGTCAAACAAAAGCACATTAAAACAAACGCTGGTACAGTTGGTTATGATAATAATTGTTTTTATTAAACCAGTCGTGTTCTCGTGATAAATGTGAGTCACTACAAGTTTAATATAATTACTTTGAACTGTTACGTGGAACTGGATAAAGGGTAGTTACCACCATTGTGTCGATGCCAGTATTTTAACGCTTGTGACGGTTGACTTAATTTCGAATCGTTTTCACCACCACGGTTATCAAACCAATAACACAGTAAAATTATTATCTCTTCTTCTGTTTTCCTATAGAACGGTTACCCGTAGCAAGTGAGCAGAGTATAACACGGAAAACGTTTACATTTGTAACTGGCCACTAAAAACTTTGCCGGTCTTTTATTAGATAACGTCATCCAGCTGTTACTCCAAGCAATTGAGCGTTAATAATTCCGATGTTTACATTATTAGAGATGATTTATGCAAAAACACTTGTTATATTCTACGTATCAGATATCTCTTTGTAGTGTTTCTTCTGGATTGGTACTCCGCTCTTTGTCATTTCGTTATAGAGGGTTGATGAGTAAGGTATTATCGCACTTTGATACATAAACTTATTGATTATTATACAATACAGAAGTATTTGACCGAATGGTTTACTTCCAGATGATCCGGTGTTTGATCTATCTTTGTTTAGACTCAATATTCTCCGGAAAGTTTAAATTTTATATACAGAGTAGAATAAGTTAACGTGTACCAACGTTATTCATTAAGCAATTTAATGCGAGGCAACCCATAAATTCATTATGGTTTACTCTTGAAACTGCACCAAACTGGTTTTTATATCTCAAGGTACTAGTCAAAAACTATTCACTCATATAATCCTCACTAGTAACCATCGAGTTGATTTTTATTTAGAATAAATCAGTATTTTTTAGTTTCGTTTAAACCTATTTTTGGTAATTATTAATCTGAAATTACCTAGTAAGTAATTCTTACAAAAAACACTTTTTGTATAATGGTTTAATCCACTTATGAACCCCGTTCGTACGTAAACCGCAATCGCATTTACCTTATTATTGTAATCTTTATCAGTTAATATAAAATTTTATTACTTCTGCGTATATTTAACATAACAAGAAAACCAGTAGAACTAAATACTGTCGGTCTGTCAAAAGTTTGCGTTAAGTTTTGGTATGAGGACAGCTAACCAATCAATTGTTTTTATTTCTAGATTTTATATTCCTATAAAAGCTGAACCGATAGAAACACCACCAGCTATAGAAGATGTACATGAGTTGATTGAACGTGTGCTCCAGTACTGTCGACCAGGTAAATATCTTCTTGTGTTTACTTAAGATCTTTCGTCTTTATTCCTTATAAATAAAACACCAAACTACACATAAAAAATAAACACACATTTCATATGTTTTACATGTTCATCATCACATTAAGGATCCCATTATTTATCTTCTATTTCTGGTTAGTATGATAAGTTATCAACTTAAAAGTATTCCACAAACCAGTAACGAGACTGCTTTTCACAATCGCGACTTTTTTGGCTTTATATTTGTCAATTTGAAAATATAGTAATATGTTTTCACGAAAATGGCATTCTCAATAAATTTTCTTCAGGTCGTACAGTTTACATTCACATTAGTGGTTAGAAAGAATAATCAAGTTTAAAGTAGATCATCTTTTCATGAGTACAGGATAAGAGTTTGTAATCTCTAGTAGAATATTCTTGTTAGTGATTATAAATAATGGAAACATTACCAGTTTATATATTTTATACTGGAGTTAAATCATATATGAAAAATTATTGAAGGAATAAGTTAATATGTAGTTTTTGAATAAATAGTGGAATTCGTTAATTATAGTGATGTAAACAAATGTGATCTAAAACAGCTTCATAAACAAAACAATAAAATGGACAAAACACAATTTCTTTGAGATCAGCTAGCTTTCTTACAATAATTATATACATTTACTATAAATATATTTGTGTAGAGTTTTGTATCCCATTTATGTCATGGTGGAAAAAGAAATATTAGTTTCACACCGTGTAGTGCTAATAACGTTTACCATTTTACTCTGTAGTTATAGTAAATCTTAACAAAATATGTTCCTTCTTTCTCTTTTTTATCTTAGATATTGTAACAGCTGTACGTCAGATTTTGTCAGATTTTGATTCACCAAACACTTCATCACTAGAAAAGTCAATACGGATTCAAGAAAGTGTTTTAGGACATACTAAAACTCCTGTCATACAATGAACAACGTTTTGTGTTTCACTACCGTACATACTGAATAAAGATCTTGTCACTTGCAACTATAACAAAGGCAAAATCAATTCAGTTTAAAATGAAATAAGTGTATACGAACTGTTTAGTATTCTTACATTTGAACCATTTTGCATATAATATTTAGTTATAGCTCCTCTATTGTCTGATTTTAACGATTCTGTATTTCCTTGGGATAATTACAGCAGTGATAGACTGTTACTTAATGTGCTTTTACAGTCAAGTTTTCTGTTATTGTTGTTTTGTTTTCCTTCTCTTCAGTTTTTCCTTAAATATTTACTTCCTTAGCTTACTTAGTAATTTCTTTATCGACTACTAGAAATGAACTAATATATGTACTTAATAATTTGTTTGTTATTAGAATCCTATCTTTTATGACGATTGGTGATTACGATGCTAACAGTTTATTAACAATAGTGATTACTTTTGTTGCAAAAATTTGGTATCATCCGAATGTCAAAGTTCTATTTAATTTCGTTTTACTAGTTTCTTACAAATCCCCTGTGATTCCGATTGTTAAGCGTGGTTATTGATGCAGTATCTTCGATACTGCATCAATTAACTAGGATAACATCTATTTAAAGATTTTAGTCTAGAGTAGTTGGTCTACTATTTTTAAGTAACGTGCTCCCCTAAACTTTTCTCAAGTTATAGTGTATAAGTCGTACAATTTTTGTTCTGTGTTTTGTGTGGGAAGACGTCTGCAAGCGAATAATTTGGCTTACACTAGCTAAAATGTCTAGAATACTTGAGTGTTCTCCACCATTTACTATTCGGACGTAGTGAGTTTTACGGTGACATATTTATGATCTGGCAACTGAACAATAATAATTATATCTATCGATATACCAAAAATATTCGGTGATAGGACCGTATTCACTTTAACACTATAAAGCACTGTGATTTATTGGTGAAATTTGCGTATGCACTGCAAACAGTCACATGCTTTCAAAAAGTAACGCAAATAAAAATATTTATATCTAACTCAAAATAAATGAAGTTTCATGTCATCAAGGTTTTTTATGAATTATTTGTTGTGTAAATTTAACGATCACACGATCTGGAACTTAAAAAACACCTAAAATAAATCAAAAAATGACGCCTGCATTTCATTGCTGTAAGTAATTAACCGACAAAAAGTACCGATCAAACTGCACAAATTTCCATTACTTTCAGCCATTGAACAGTATAAATATACAAAGTCGATTTATAAATTAATACGTGAAAATGACATATGAATAAATCAAACACCCATTAAATCTCACAAGTGAAATTGCTTTGAATTAATTAAAAGACAATCTTTGATTACACTTCAAGCCGAAAATAAGTGGACACTTATGCAGTCAGATGGATAGACCAAACAATGTACAATTTTGCAGCCACGTGTAGATTCATTTTTGGAACATTAACCCGAGTTACTTACGGTCTCTAGTAGAGACATTATGGAAGCAGAATTACTGAACAGTTCAGGAACACTAGAAATTAAATAGCTGCTCAAAGATGTTGATATAAGATTATCCAAATGGTTATGACAAGAACATGAATACGACTAAACTCGGAGAGGGAGGATTTTGTTTTTATCACTGAATAGTTTACCAGGTAAGTTGATTGAGGTCTTGAATTAAAGGTCACAATATCTACATGATGTGTGGGCGAGAATGATAGTGATTGGTTGTCTGCTTAGTCAGACATTCAGATAGTCTGACAGGTGTTAGATGAGTTATATAATCCCCCTATCTTTATTCGTACTTATTATTGATTGTTCATTGTTGTTGGATTGTGTCAGGCTTTGGTGTGGAAACGTATTTACGTTCTAGTGGGGCTAATCACGTGTTCTTGATCAGAGTTGTGTTGAATTACAGTAGAATAGACACTGGGAGGGAATCTAGTGTAGATATTCGTCTTAGGTAAATTAACGTCCCATAGACGAAGTGAAACCGAGCGTTGTAACACTATATCAACCAAATTCTTAACAAAAAAAACTAATTGCTGCGTAAGAAGCATTTGTCATGAACTGATAAGCCAGCTTATACACCTTTAATAAAGGACGTATATTCATAGAATAGAAAAATATTAGTCCCTGTATTCTCTCAACACGGTTGCTGAAATATATATCTCAAAGTAATAGGAAGTAACAGCCCTTCAATTAAACTTAATATATACTAAATATCAAAATCCGGTCAAACGTCGAAAACACGAACTGACAATTGTCCCCACATGTAAATATCTTTTTAATCCGAATAGATAGTTCATTTAGTTGCACATTTTTTGCATTTGTCGGTTTCTCACCTTGCTACATAATCAATCACTTAAAAAAGAATTCAGGACTGTGAACTTCGACTAATTATCTATCTCTTAAATACCTGGTATTCTTGTTGGATCGAACTCTGTATTTTATTCACTCTGTTCCTAGATAATGGGATGTAAAGGACTTTCGTTGACATTCATACATTTTAATAACCTTACCCATTAATACTGTTTACATTAGTCATTGTAACACTTACTAAAGGAGTCTCATCGAATGACACTGATATTAGAAAATGAATTCAGAAATTGAAAAGCTGAAGAAAGGTGGTGAATTCAATGCCAATTATGTGCTTGAAATTCATAGATAGAAAGCTATAAGAGAATTTGTAAAGTCTTCTGACTAAATTATTTCAATTAGTGGGACTATTTTAGTGTATGGACAAACAATACATGTTTGTGAGTTGCAATTATATTAACAATCATTTGAATTCAATGAAAAATAGATGTTTTTTAAGGATATACATAATAATATCATTTGGAATGGTTTCTCAAATGATATCAATGCGTGATGAAAACTACACAAATCACCACAAAATCTCTGCAAATAATAATCCTATATTCATCAGTGAATAGTTTGGAGATGGATATTCTCAATGGTAAAACCCCCTGATTTGTTTAGTAAACTAAGTTAAGAATATGCCAGATATCCACAGTAAAGTTAAATTATAGTTGCTCTGCATTACCAGTAAAGTGCAATTTAAACAGTCGAGCCATTTGAATCTTTCTAGCTTACTGTGCAGAACCGTGCTCACCACTTTTATCATAAAGCAATATCGAAGCCTTATACCAATATTGAGAAATCAATTCCAGGCATTAACATCATCTATGGTAAAATAGAAGCCCTTAAAAATATTCTAATCACTGTTCTTGAAAGTAGATTCTTAAAATAGATTGTATTTAACTCTGAAGTTGCTAATCCAATGAACTTTAGAATACCGTAAATGTAACTTTCAAGTACTCAAAAATTCACATTTGTCAAACATATTCTTTATAATTATGTATATTAAGTTTAATAAAAGTGAAACTGTGTTATGTATTAGAAATTTTCTATCTAGAAAGTAAAAACGATAAGATATTTAAGAAAATAACAATAATCTGAATTAGAATCTAGTTATATATATCAAAACCAATAGTTATAATTTGACCATTAGTCAACTAAATAATAACTATGTCAAGTGTATCGTCAAAATTAACAGTGAGTGGATTATGTTAAATATCAAAGAAATCTTTTACCACTAAAATTAGTTTATGCACCGAAAAATGCGAAATTACGTAATATAGAAGAACTAGAATATTGGATAAACGAATATCCGACATTAGAAGATTTAAGGAAGAGAATTTCCATAAGTCCTAGAGATCAAACTTCACTGAGTTAGTCCTTCCTTTTAATATTGATGATATTTACAAACGTTTTCATATACAATGCATTGGGTAATATATTGAATGATTGACATATTTGCATCGGTCTAATTTGACACACCTCATTAGCACAACAAGATAAACACTAAATTCATAGAAGTAGTCACTTCAATGATAGTAATATACAAAAAAGATTGCATGTAAGGATATGATACAGAGAGGAAGAATTAGTTTGTAGAAGGAAAGATATAAAACAGTTTTATTCCTACGGTTTAAGGGCGGACAAAAAATGTATACACCTCCATTGTGATCGATTCTGAGCCATGTCACCAAGAGTTTTCAACATTTGATTACGTTAAGCACGCGGACCCCAATCAAGTAATCTGCATCTACCAACATGGCTCAGACTACAAGTTAGTGACTTCAAGCCGTGATGCCACGTTTTGGTTCGGCCGTCCCCAACTTTCTTCCAACCACCTCCAACACCGGTTAGCATTGCACGTCGTGGTAATTGGTGTTCAGGCATACTCAACACGTGGCCCAACCATCTCAGTCGATGATTTACCATCACTCCCTAATACCCTGAGTCTAACCTCACTATTACTTACCCGGTGAGCCCAGCAGATGCCAGCAATATTTATAAGATATTTATGGTTAAATACTAGTAGCTTACAAGTATCTTCTACTCCTAATGATCTGCGTATTCTAAGTCGATAGGTGGAACCGGATAGAAGATCAGTTCTCGAAAATTCAGACGATGAGAACGCTATTCCCAGCATTAGATCTATGATGAAATTGAACAAAAATTAAGAAAGTGGACAGCCTTGTCGGACACCACATGAGATTGCAAAATCAGATGACAGTTCGCCATTAGCTGTAACTCGACAGCGCTCAAGATCGTCGTATTCATGAAAGTAAAAATCGTCAACCATCAATTAGAAATGTTCCTCCTAGTGACTGGTTAATTTAATTAGATTACATAGAATTGGTTATTACAAATATATAATGCCTTGTTAATTTCTAACTAATCCTTAAGATGAAATCATTGCAAACTTTCTCACCAAAATACATTAATCATGAGAAGAGAGAGAAACGTTTTGTCACTTGATTTAAACTAACATGATATTCATCATTCTGGTAGTCGACACGTAATTTATAGTTTCCCGATTGGTAGTTTGGACCACACCTACATAAACTATAGTGTCTTGCATACAGCACTGTAAATAGGTTTGAATCAATATTGATATTATTTTTTTTCCAGCCCAATTAGTTTTAACTGCATTTGTGTATTGTTGTTTTTTTCAGCA